CATCCTCATCTTGACTCTAATTTTTCCAACCTCTCTGGGACAAGGTGTGCCAGAAAGTGCAGATTCACTCCGCTACTCAACTTCAAGACTAACAGCGTGCGAGTTTGGTTGTGCCATCATTTGCAGTTTACCTGTTGCTTGGCTCAGTCGCTCACCGCCTTTGTGCAAATGAGCTGCCGCTACGGCAATTTTCCATGGACCACGTGAGCATGTGCTGAAGCTGTGCCAGCAGCGCTTGCCGACCCTCTCCCAAGCATCCGACGAGATTGTATGCATGTGCATTCAACATCACCCAATGGATGACCGACAAACGCATCTGACATCAACCTCGGTAGGTAGATTTGGATCTCTGCTCACCGCGGGTGTTTATGACACACAAACTGAGTGCTGCGCTCAGCATGCATGGCAAAACAGCATGAGCGGACTTTGTTCGTGTTCGCACATGTTTTTTCATCATGGTACATCAAGCTGCAGCTTGGGCTTGCGCACTTCTCGGCTTTCGGCGGCACAAGTATGTCTGCAAGCTTCCCCGAAGACAGAATGTATGCACCATGCCCGGTGACCTGATGTACTCTTGCCGGTGGTTGCATACTTCTCCTAAGTTTCGGAATGTCGTGCTGCGATCACAAATCGGATGTGCAGTTTGACCACATGGGCTTCTAATCTGCAGGGTCTCTCTACTCAAAGCTCTCTTCAACCAAGCCTTGAAATATCATGGTGTGATAAATGCCGTCCGCCCACGCTGCTCCATCAGGTCGTCTGTTTCTTCTGTGTTGGCGTCCGCGTCCTCGGTCTCGATGGCCTGTATCACAGGGGCGAGAACATGTGGCATTCTGCTGTATGCTGCATGCACTGCCCTGTGTTTACCGCCGAGTCCCAACAGCCTTGCTTTTGGACTGCTTCGTCAAGGAGAGCTTGAGGGATGCCACAGAGTCCCGCTCCTGGCCAGTGCACGCACGCACGCGCACACGCACACACACACACACACACACACACACACACACACACACACACACACACACACACACACACACACACACACACACACACACACGCACGTACGGGGCATACAAGCTACTGCCCTTGTGTCTCTCCCACTCTCTGTCTGTATGCCTGAGGGTCGCTTCGATTATGACGGACTAACGGGCTGTCCTGCTGAAGCTTCTTTCGAAGTGCCGTGATGGCATCCTCACGAATGGAATTGGCGCAGCATGCCAAACGTCCGCAGCACCAGATTCACGTGTGAGGAGGGGAACCGGAGGGAAACACATCTAGAGAGATGGTCTGTAGGCATCACGTACAATCACATCAGCAACGGAGGGAAACAACCACGGCAACAGAAACAACAACAAGGTTTGCAGAGCAGGATTACGTACTGAGTACTGACATCTCTTGAAGATCATGCTTACTTCAAGGGAAGGGAAGAAGACGGAGGAAAGTGTCGAAGGAAATACACCGCCAAACGGGGCGGCGGGATGGGGGGTTGGTCAACGAATCAACTTTGGTTGCCGGTGGTCCGGGCTTATGTGCAGCTTGCTTGCAAACAGCAACTATAGCTGTCCAAGGAGCTGCTTCGGTACCATTCTCCCATTCCGCAGTGCCATAAAGATTGGTCTTGTATCTACCAACCTGATTGGAGCTGTAGCCGCATCTTGCAGCCATCGACTCCCAACTCAAAACACCCACTTGAGCGTCAGTGCAAGCAACTCGTCATGTGAGGATTGGCTGCACGGATGAGGTCAGGTTGGATGGTTACTACATACTTACCACTTCCGCACGATGACCGTGTACACTGAAATGTAAGCTTGAACTGCTGGACGTGTCCAGATTCTAATCCCGATTCCCTGGTCATGAATTACAGGTGTCACCCACACCGGCCCACCGACAAGTCTTCACAGCGGTGTTCACAGTTAATGCCATCCCATGACGATATCGTTGATCATTGGCCCTCGGTTATATACATTCAGGTTCAAACGGCCGGCATGACTTGTAGGATCTGCACCTAGCCCTCCAATGCATTCTTGTGCATATAGATTCATATGTACATTTGTGTATGTATGTATATACATATATTTGCATACAGGTATTTGGCATGTGGCAATCTGAATCCTGCTAGCTGCTGCCGAGACACACGAACACCATCGTGGAATAACTTCACACGCAGTTTCTCCTCGAATGCACGCGTTGCGAGAGCTCAAAGAGCGGCTTGCTTATAATGCGGCGAGGGTTATGGCTTGGAAGATACGAACCGTCGCTCTTTCATAATTTTCCGGCAAGTCCGGCCAAACAGGCGAGCAACGTGTCACTACCGTTGTGCACATGGTTGCACATGGGTTAGGGTCGGCTTGGGCATGCCGCTTCACTGTATATTCCGGCCACTTGGCCTTGGTATTTCTTTGGCTGCATTACGCCGACAAACTTTGGCCTGGACTACGGCATGACATGAACTGAGGATGCTGCATCAGCGAAGGATGTCCCAGCTCCAGCAACTCCCGCTGAACGCTCCAGGTTGTTGAGATGTCAAGATGTAAAGAACTTTTCGCAGGAAAACTGCGGCGAGCTTTGATCTCATTCTGCCGCCCGCGGACTCTTTGCTTCTCCACAGGCTTCGTCGACTTCCCAGCCACTACAAGCGAAGAACTATCTATTCGGAATTGCCAGGTCAGCAGTTTTCTCCGCACGTTAATTAACAAATGTCTCGCGGAGAGATAAGCTGTCATCGGATTCGCATGTTGCGTGATAAGCTGTGACGCCTTCGCTCAGCGGGATGCCCTTCTCAACTCAGTTGAGTGGCTCTTTCGTTCTTCGCATTTTCGACCAGCGCGTCGGCTAGCATGAAACGGCCTGGCAGATTTGCGATCAAGTCGCAGCTGGCCACCAACACAGGTTGAAGGGCCTTTTTTGGCTAGATTGATAAGGTTCTGCATCTGCGTCTTCTGCTCGTTAAGCTCTTGCCTGGGACGAAAGCCAGCACGTTTCAATCCGTGTCGAGTGCCACCCCTTGCTCACGCCCTGCCCCGTTGACGTACGGCGTACGGGCAAGCAAGGAGCTGCAAACGCTTGATCTCGCGTTCTTTGGGGCATCCAGCCTGTCTGAGCAATGCCAGAAGAAGCTCCAGAGCAAGCTAAATAGAGCAAAGCTATGACATTACTGGCTCTCGGCGTGTCTCTGACTTCCTTTTCTGCTCAACGCTTGCGAAGCGAACGTGACCTTTCAAAGCCTTCGGCCTCCTCCGGATCGTGCCCATGCTCTGGGGTCAGAGTCTGCCGGTGCTTTCCTCGAAGAAACACAAACAAACGGCAGAGGGTTCGGTTTCGTTTGGTACTCAGGTGGAGGACCTCCTGCTTCGCACCAACGAAAGCCCGAGCGGCGGCCACGGCTGATGGTCGGGCTGACAGTGGCTTGGTCAGGATCGAGATGGCTGGGAACAGGTGGGTGTGGACGCTTGCTTCCTTGCGAATCAAAAACAAATCAAGGGCGGTAGCTACTATCACTGCAGGGAAGTGCGGGTCTTGTCCTATCCCAGGTCGCATTCCAGGCTGACTGATGCACACGGCTGCGCGAGCCTCTACGATTCTCGGCCGCCTTTGGCTTCGTGAGTGGTTGGGCAGCCTTAAGCACTTGCACAATCTGCAGGATCTCTTCTTGATGGCGGCTGTTTCTTGTGTGCTCGAATCTTCATGTTGGATGCATGTGTGAAGCCCGCAAGGTCCCGTCTGCACCAGGTTCGGTGCTCTAAACTCGAGGGCACCTGTTGCTTGAGAAGTAGCAGTTACAGTACCAGTGCAGCAAGGCAACGCCGAATGTGCATGTCACTGCTAATTTTTCAGCCTCGAGGCAGCCTGCGATGTCTCAGTGGATTCTGGCTCTTCTTCCGGAGGTCCTGACGACGCCTCCTGCATTTGCTACACATGAAAGAGGAACCGACTGGTGGGTTCAAAACGGAGCCTGTCGCGCAACTCACAGCTTCGCAAGTACTCTCGATTATTTGCAGCCCAGGGTCATCTGTGCGTGATCTGCTCTCGTGTTTGGGAGTCCTAAGACTTGAGAGCAGTGTCTGTGGACAGGTCCACGGCCTGCTACGCAACGTTACACATGCACATATATGTAAGTACATGTGCTTGTATGTGCATTTGCTTGTTATGTATGATGAACGCCTCAGCTACTAGAAAATCGCTTGCAAACCACTGACTTTCTCTGGAAACTCTCAGGTGTCGGCGAAGGGTCCGCTGCGGCATCTGCCCCGTCCATGGCGACGGTGGATCACGAACCAATGCGAGGGTAAACTTCGGGTTAACACAACATCAAGATTTAATTAAAGTACCGGTCTTGATGCATCGCAACTGGTGAGAACAGTGTTGAGCTGCACACGGAATGGCCCGGAGACGTGCTTGCAGCCTTAAACGCATGGCAATCTAACATCTGATTTACGAGTACTTGTCTCTGTCCATTTCCCTACTTCGGGCTGCAAAACGGAAGTCCATGCAATACGCTCATTTGCATGCGTTCGTTGCCGTCATGCTCCAGCCCAGCACTCCGCCAATCCCAGGACTTATGGCAGGCTCTGCATCAAGGAAAAGGAAGGGAACACCGAGTGGGAAGTCTCGCCCGCGAGCACAGTCCCAGCTGCGCCGTGGCGAGAGCGAGGGGAACGAGAGCCCAGCTACAGCCCCTGGCATGAGTTTCTGCCAGTTTCTGCCTGCACGGTTTGACATGGGTTGCACTACATTACCTTCCGTTCCCTGCACATCCTGCAAAGTCTCTCTCTTTTTGCATGAGGCCGGGCCCAGTAGTATGCACTACAGGAAGGCCCTCAGCACAGAATCGCTTCTGCGCTTGGTCGTTGCAGGCAGCCAGTTCCATGAAAAACAGAACGCGTGCTCCATCGAGTGCACCTTTCCATCAAGAAGGTCACCATTCAAGTCGAAATGTTTCTCTTGCTTGGCCAGTAGCACCCTGTCCCAGTTTGGCGATAAGGCATGTGCACAAGAAGGGTCTGTCAGACTTGCTCTGGAGAAACCCATTTGTCCCTCGCAGCCTTGAGTGCTCGCTCAATCCTCTCCAGGTCCTTGAGTGACTGCTGGAACTCCAAGGGATGCAAATCCTGGCAGAAAATTTGCTGTGGCTGTCGGAGGTACACCACCTTACCGCAGCTTTTTTGCGAACCAGATTTGGAGGGAGTTTTTCTCGAAAGCAGCTGGCTAGGCAAATCGTTCGCACGTCTTGGGCCGCCAAGCAGCCGCTTCGTGGTTCAGATTTTCGACACCTCGCGAGGATTTGTAATTGGCTGAGAAGGCATCCGTGCCTACATCGGTGATCATGGCTGAACTGCTCTGCTTGTGAGAAGGCCTTGCTGAATGGCTGCTTTGATCCTCGGCCGGCAACAACACAGCGGTGACACCCTAGTCTTGAGTCAGTGGCTTCTAGAAGTTGAGAAGCTCAGCGTAACCAAACAAGGCGCATCTGCATATTCTCCGGGTCGTCCTGTATGGCAGCATCGATGAGCTGCTGAGCCTGGCCGGCCTTCGATCATCTCCGCAACGTGCATTGAAATCCGCATTGACTTTTCTCTTCCCCCAGAGGAATCACCCTCTTGCCACGCTCAGTCGCTCCAACACGGCTTGATGGTGACGTCTTAAGGAATGACTTGTGAGCTGTACGTTACAAGAAGCTGAACAAAGTCCTATGAGGAGTCGGCCGCTAAGTACTAATCCTGCCGCAGTAATCAGTTAAAGTTGAAGGGTCAGACATGCTCGGAAGAAGCCTAGTTCTGGTAAGTTACAACTTTCACACGAAGCACTTTAACATAGGTGACGCCCCACCCAGTATCTCCGAGTTGCTAGTTTGCGCCGGAAACTCGGCGTCTTCAGCCATAAATGCTTCTTCAGTGGTGGAGGGAGCTGGGAGATAAGCCGCTCCTTGCATGAGTCTGCAAGAAAAGAAGACTTCAGCAGCCCCTTGCTGCCACTTTTCTCATTCTAAGCGTTTTCAAGTCTCCGCATTGAGCTCATCTGGCCGGTGCTTTCCAGGCGCTGCAATGAAGCTCACTGTCACCTGCAGTCGAAGCGACGACGAAGACACGACGTGGCATCTTGCACTCGGGCATCAAACCCTTCTCAACACTCCCAGACTCGCGAGACCTCTGATTACCTATGACAGGGCCCGTGCCGGATTTCGCTTCCGAACTCTTGGCAAACACCAGTCACAGCTCTCGAGGACTTGCTTCATGGCTGGTGCTAATTGAAAACGTGCAAGGTGGTCGTGCCAGCGTGTGCTAGCTTCATGACGGGCTGCTAGGTCTGTCTGATAGAGCTGGACTCGGATGCTTGCGCAGTGTCAGGTAGCAAGCGATTAACTCTCCAGAGGATTCCTGCTTCTTAAGAAGGATTCCTGAAAGATAATGATAAGATTTGTATATGTGATGCATCTAGCACCCAAGAAATTCGTCTCCTACCGCTGAAACGAGCGAGTGGAAGGCCTTGATCCAAACAGATAGCACTCTCTGAACACTCGCAAGGTCAGCGTCGGCATGTGAACTCGAAGAGGGATTTGGCGCGACAAGTCTGCAAGTCTATTGGAATACCGATTGGAATGCATCTTCATATGCATCATTTGCAAAGGCTGGAGTCTGGCGCATTTCACACCGACGCAAAGCAGGCAATAGTCCGACATTCGATGGATCGACGGGTTGGTGCATCCTCAGGTGTTGTGGGGTCCTGGAAGGCGGTGTGAAACACTGATTGCGTTCTTGAATGGTCCTTCTCGAAGACCTTGAACAAAAGACTCTCGTCCTTCACCATCCGAGGGTAGTAGTACCATTTGTGGTCTGGAGAGAACTCGAGTGCATAGTTGCTCCCAATCCGATCTGGGAAGTGCATCTCGTATTTAATGGCTTTGGAATAGTCCACAGATTTGGCGTCACAAACGGCCAGCGGACATCTTAGTGCCGGCTCTTCCGCGATGCTTCTCCAGACATTGATGAAGCAGTACCTGGAGCTCAGGATTCGCTCGCAGTCCTCCTCGGACAATTTTGTGCCCGTGTAGCTCTCTGATCGTACCAGATCTCGCAGCCTGCGAGGTGCCGACTCATCTGTGTAGTCTGTGTGAACCCTCAAAACGGGTGCAGCCGCTTGAGATGTCTCAGAAAGGACATTGAGGCCAGTGGCGCCACTTTCGCGAATTGTATGGTCAAAAACAATCACATCCCCACAACCTGTAGAATGCCTCACGAGTGCTTCAACTTCTGGGTAATAGATTGTAGCCACTGCACACGGATCAAAAAAGTTCGTGCATTCTGTCGCATGCTTCCTTAGTTCGAAGCCAGTGGTTTCAAGCGTAGCTTCGATGCTCCTGGCATTTCGAATATAGACGGAATGCTGCTCATGCTCATCTGCTAGCTCGCCGATGTCTGGAACACGTATGTACCTGCCAGTTCGCTTCCCTGGAACCAACTTTTGGTAGGGTAGCTCGGATAGGACACCGTCACATGCAGCTGGACGCGCATCTGCTTCTCGCATGTTGGGGGTTGGCTGTAGAGTGCCTTGTCGGCATTGCACAAGCTCATCGTATGTCGCTCTAAATGAACTATCGGATCAAGGAATCCCCTGAAACATACTGCGACGTGGACTAGTCACTAATCGCGCGCCCTTCCGCCTCGGAGATCATCGGGCAACATCGGATTGCTGAGTTCGGTCACCGGTCGCTGACTTTCGGGCTTTGAGTGTTACAAGCAGCAGCACAGATTTCACCGGTTGCGGCCAAATGGGTGGATTTCAGTCAGACACGGAGCACGGCTGTCATCAAGTTTGACGAATTTTGCGCGAGCGAGCTACTTCTCAAAGCGGCTTTCAGCCGGAAGGCAGCTTGAAAACCGCCACCATCGGAGCTCCTGCAGACACTGCTCCGCAGGAACAGCTGCTTCTCTTTATTCGACTGCGTCGCGACATGAAACGGTCACACGCTCAGTGCAAGCCTGCAGAAGATACACAATGTGCAGCTGGCCCAGCTCTCCTTTCTGTCACCAGCCGTCACCATGCATGGGGATCCTTTGCTGTATGCGCATGTTGGAAAGCGGCTTCAAGGCTCGATCATCTTGATTCTTGATCAGGTCCGCTGACAACCAAGCGGCAGCTGGAACCATTTTGATGCCACACCTGGAAAATGATGCTTGAAGTACGAGAAACGCGTGCTCTATAGCAGTCATTCAAGCGAGCCGGGCGCGCCGTGTCCTTTGGCTCGGATCGGAGACCCTGAAAGCTGAAGCAGCCATTGCCTGAGCTCTCAGCTGTGCATTTCCTGACTCCGGCCACGTTGGTGGACTGCTGCTGGCCGAGAAGAGCCTGTAAAAACAAACAGCTCCTCCGTGCCAGGCTGGTTGGTCGGAAGGACCCCGCAAAGACAAACGGCTCCTCCGAATTTTGGCTCGATGGACCACGGTAACTTCCATATACGTGATAGCAAGCTTTGTAAGGAATACCAGCCGTACCCACTAGTCTTCCAATTTCCGATTTTATTGCTTTTGCTGATTAATGCAGAGCTTGTCGGGAGAATCCAGGCGTCCGGCTGCGAAAAGCCTGCGGCTGGGCAGCAACGACAAACAGGGTCACCAGTGTTTCAATGACATCACTTCCCTTGCTGATGCATCATCATGTCATATTTAGTCATGTGGAGGACTCCGTTCTACGCAGTCTTTATCAGGCAGTGGGGACCCCGATCGCAGCGCAAGGCATCTGGTCCGCCTGGAACAGCTGCGGACCGGTGATGGTTGCTGCCTCAAGGCACAAAAGTGGTTCAGATGAGCAACCAGCTGCGCAGCTTTCCTGTGTTTCCTGATCCCTTTGGGCCCGACTTGCAGAAACGCCTCTGCCTCAGCGCGCGGGCTGCGTCAGTAAGCCAGGCGATGTTTTACAGCTATCTAGAATTCGGCAAGCCGTCGAATTCTGCCAGACCCATGGTCATTCTCTGACATCTGAGGCCCAGCATTCTCCACATCGATCCTCGGATCAAACTAGCTCTTCGGCCGACACAAATACACAAATGTGGCTGCTTCCCCTTTGGCTTGGTCACGAGCCAACAAAGGTGGCGAACTTCGGGTCGACCCAAAGCAAACGGACTGTGCGTGAGGGCCTTAGGGTTTGGGCGCTGCGACAAACCAGGCAAGTTATTTTCACACCACACTTGGTCGCAGACTGCTATGACGGTCAGACAACATGGAAGATTTTGGGGCTGTCGTGGGGGCTACAGGAAAGGTCAGCATTCATACAAGGACTCTACGCGGCAGGAATGGACTGCACCTAGTTAAGTCATTGGCCCTCTCGGCTGCGGCGACCGGGGACCTGCTAAAGCAAGAAAAGTTGGTGAACAGCGCAAAGATGAACATCCGCGATGCGGATGAAGACTTTCCGAAGTATCGCATATAGCTTTACAAGCTTTACATGAACTTCAACGGCCCTAGTCTGCAGGGCTAGTTCCCCAAACAGCGCGGCGACACTATAGTGGCACTGTCGCGCATTTTTCGCTCACGTCCTGTTTCGTGCGTACTCCCGCCCCCGAGAGCAGGATCTAATTAGTGTAAACTCCAAATACCTGGGCCAGCTTCCATAAACTATACTCGCAGCAGTTCTTCCGGCAAGGGTTTTTCGTCGTCCTTCAGAATCGTGCCAGGTAGAGGCAAAGCAAACGCGCCATTATCCTGAAGCCAGTACTTGGAGGAAAGTATCTTGGCCGCGGTGACGGATTGGAGCACGTAGGAGAAAACATTCTGGCCGCGCTCCCCAATCCTCCTGGATCTTGCCTATGCTTAAGGGAAAGCATTTGGGAAGTGGCGCTGAACCCGGCAGAACCTGAAGAAAAGCATCTTGAGCACCTGGGGACCTGGTGGGCCTCCTGGTGGTCGTGGTCGACCTGGTCATCCTAGTCGTAGTGGTCGTCGTGGTGTTACCTGCAGTCCTAGTGGTCGCTGTCGTCTTGGTCATGGTCGCTGTGGTGTCCTCTCACCGTTTGGGGATCCTCGCCACAGTTGTGTGGTTTCGGCGCCGGTGGGTGCTTTGTACTTGCGCATGTTCTGCGCTTTGCATGGCAGGTTGCCCAACCCATTCTGATTGGTTATGCTATCCCGTTTCGACTGATTCTGCAGATGCTTTGCTCGAAGCATCTGCCTACGACCCTTCTCTACTTCCAGGTCGTCTAGCTTCTTTGGCAAGGGAGCAGGGCAATGGCTTCATGAAAGCATCATGAATTCCTCGCCTGGAGATGGCCTCCAACATTCCTTGCACAAGTGAAGGCGACGCATCAGACCTGCGGCTAGCATCTTGGCTTCGTGTGCTGCGCAGCAGGCACAGCGTGGCTCTCAAAAACCTCGCTGAGCCTACGACCCCGCCAACACCAAACGTTGAAGACGCGGGGTGACTCTTGCCACCAGCCACGCCAATTCGATTCCTGCCTGCAGAACAACTTGGGCTCTTGGGAAGTCCGCAATGTCTAGCGAAGTCTCAGGCTTCGCCTTCTTCTCGCTCAGGCCAGTGCAGCCCGTTGAGAAAGCAAGCCTGAAGGGAACGGGGAGGCTCGGAAGGGACGGAAGGAGGGAGGCTCGGGCTCTGGTAGTGGGGTTGATGTGCAAGAGTGCACAAGTTGGGCGCCCTGCACTCGAAGGGCCATCGGGCTCCTGGTCCCCACCAAAGATTCCTCCCTTGCCCCTCGTCGCTCCCTTCTCTCTACAGCGATGCTTCTGCTCCTGAGCCGCCTTCGCAGGATTTGCAAGGCCACCACCTGAGTCCGCGAGCTCCCCCAAGGCACGGCACTACTATGCACTACTCTCCCAAAAGCTGTCTCTGGGATTCGACGTACCTGGCGGTCCTTCCTGTGCTAGGATACGGCTATGGCATATGGAGATTTTAGCGACATGTTGTGCGGGACATTGACCTGCGGCTCTAAGGGAGGAGCTCCAACATCCAGTTTTTCCAGCCTGGCCACAGGTGAAAGGAATTGTGTTGAGCTGCTGCTCAATCAGTTCAGCTGGTCGGCGCACAAAAATGACAAAAGTGTTGAATACAAACAGTGGGGGCATCCTTCAGGTGCACGGTTCTTAGTGGGCAGGGGAAGACTCGAATGTAGACGTCTACTGCCAGGTCTGCCCGGCCAGCACCTGCTTGGCTGCTAGGCCCAAACCTTGGAAGTTCACGTGACTGGGACCCTGAAGCCCAAGAATGCCCAGGAGATGGACTGGAGACATCCCGTGCGCCTCAGCTCCTGCAGACCGCTGGCCAGTCTACACGCAACAGCTGATAACCACAGCCCGACCTTGTTCACATACACAAAAGATCGGGCATGGATTTCGGGACTGCTTTACGCGGGTAAGGGGCTGCGAAGAACAGGGTGATACCGTACAAGCGTCGCTTTGGTCGCACTCAGGCAACATTTGGATTGCTCGAGGAACTGGCTCCAAACTGGGCGAGAAAGTGTAGCTTGTCGGAACCTGAGGTCGACACAACCGGTGGACATCTTCATGTTGAGTAAGCGTGCTTAACATTGCTTCACACGTTTCGGTCTGAGTATCCAACGAGACTCAGATGCAGGGGCATCCGCACCTCAACTGACAATTACATAATTACTTGCCATGGGCACAGCCTGCCCATGACCTGGTTCAGGAGTTCCTGTGCCCCACTGTTTCTGCCTTATGCAAACTCCAGCACCATTCTTCGGTATGGCCCATGGCCTTCCACCAATTCCTCCGCCAACGATTCCACCGGGGTGCCTTGGCCGTGATGGAGTGGTGCGGCTGAGGTACATTCGCGAGGTTCGGACAAAGACCAACGCTGAAACGTGCTCAGCAGAGCCTGCATTGGGGTCTGCCGTGCGTGACGAACTCTGAGATACCAAGGCCTTCCAGGCGGGTTTAGGGGAGGAAGGCTTGGGAGCTTCGGTTTGTTTCTTTGTACATGAATCATGGGCATGCAAAATGCAGACACATCGTGGGCTAGGCAGGACCGGGCCAGCCTGCCCCTGCTGCCCGTGCGACGAATATCCAGCCTCAAGGGAAACCAAAGCCTGGCCGCTCGATTGTAGTCTCAGATGCAACAGACATAGGCCATAGGCAGGCGGGATGCATCGCATGACAAGTTGCTCGAGCCCGGCCTGTGCGCTGGACTCGAGCAGGTGCTCTGCAAAGGAGCGGTGGGCCTCCACGCGCCAGCGGTTGGCCTCGGGAAAGCAAAAAGGCTTTCGCAACGGAATCACAAGATAAAGCGCAGTTGGCAATTTCGAAAACAACTCGTGCCTGCATGCGGATGTGCCTGATGCTTCCGAAGTGGTTCACTGCCCTGGCAGTAAGTCAGGCCGATTTCCAGTGCCGAGTGCATTGTAGTGCACCCACACAAGAGTTACCAGCATTGGTAAAAGGACTACTTTGATTCTAAGCTGCGAGGCTTGGAAAAGCAGCGACCGGTGTGTCTGTTTGGCAACGGTCCTTCATCAATCCTGCAGTGTTCGAAGCTTTGTGGCCTTGCGAGCGCCGCAGCTGCTGCCGGTGACTGCAACTTGCAGCCCCTGGCTTCAACCAAGAGTCTAAACGATGTTGAGGTGCGTCTTATTCTCTTCGTAACCCGCCTGAAGCCCAGGAGGTGAAGCTCTGGAAGCGGCCCAACATTCGCGGCAGCTAAAAGCCTCTCAGGCAAAGTCATGCAGATCAGGGCCCTGGGTACCTCCCAGTGGCGACCCCTAAGCTCGCGGACTGAGCATCAGCATCTCCAAATTCTGATCCACTCAGGTCCTCGGTATTCTATGTTGCTTGTGGCCTTGTTTGTAGGCGCTGAGTTCCTGCAAAACTAGCCTGACATGAACTGAAGTAGTAAGTAGGACCGGCGAAAACCTCGATCCAGTCGGGCAGCAACCTTGTCTGTGTGCTGAGAACTGGGCCAGGACCTGCAAGCTGCTGGCACTTGACCTGTCGACGTTTGTCATGTTTGTTTTGGAGCCTATCTCTCAGGATCCACGAAGTTCTAAACCCATAAACTGCCAACAAAAGACTCTGGGCGTTGCAAGCAGCTGTGGTACATGGGAGCCTCCAGCAGTTGCCTCTGGGCGCCCAGCAACATCGCTCCAAGGTTCAGCGAGTCCAAGGAGAAACCACCTCTGATCCTAGGCACGGCATGGAGACTGGGAGAAGCGTGAGTAGTCGGGCCATGAAGGGCTCTCGGGCCCTCGGGTTCAAACAGCGGCTAGGGGGTACACGCATCCAGGTATGGAGCAGCACACCCGAATCTGGCGACCCGTGTGACCGGCTCATTGAAGTAAACCAACATGAAACGAATTGCTTCACAAACACACGCTGGTATGGAACGGCTCCCGACTTCACCGAGTCAACGGCTGGATGCTGGTCAGCTGCGCGAAGTCCTGCCCGCATCAAGCGGGCAACACAGTCGATTCGTGAGCCAAGCCAGTTTTCCGTCACATCCCGCGTGTGATCGGTCCTGTCCGCTGCAGGCTTGCTGTGGCGAGATCGCGCGGCGCAGGCGTGCTGGCCTCGGCCTGAGACCAAGTGCACTTCCTGAGATATGCCTCTCTGCGGATGCACACAAAGCTTTAATGGATGAGAGCGGGAGATGCCAACATCCAAAATGACGCAGTGATCAGGACATCAGCCACCCCGCTGTTGCGCAAGGCGGTGGTTCATCTTGCTCTGAGCATCTGAGGCCTGTTCGGGTTCGAGGCCGTCAGCAGGCGCAATGACCGCCTGGGTTGAGCTGCACACACTTTCCACAACACGAGTACTCGGTCTGAGGGGAGCATAGAATCATGGAACTGAGCTCCGGGCAAGCCTGGCATTTCGCTGACCAGCCTTCGATGGTAAGAGTTCAAGGTCCGGTGAGGTGCTGTCAACAGGACTTGCTGCCAGGCGACAGTGCAAGAGCTGGACCAGCCTCGGTTGCAGGCCATGCAGGTTGCCACAGGGCCGGGACGGTGTGCAAATGGCCACTGTTCCGCCGAGTCGCTCCAGCGAGCGCCTGAGCGTTCACCACGAGCTCCTGCGCCTGTGGAGGCCTCAGCACGACACTTTCGCGCTTTGACCATGGCACGTCTGTTGGACGCATCCGGATTTTCGTAGTGTCAAGGACTGCGCTTTGTGGCGTCAGTAGCGCAGTATCCATCAGCAAACGCCTGCCCAGGAGCCGAGCGACTATCGAACCAGGTTGCTAAGAGTTCGTGGCGCTCGAGCAAAGAGGGGCGAGCAGGTCGGAGTTGAACACGGGCGGCAGTACAGTGCAGCACGACACGATCACCCGGCGGAACCGTGAAACTTGAGCTGAACTCCTTCCAGGAGCCTTCAGAATGGAGTGGCCAAGGTGCATCGTATGCGAAGAGGGCAGGCCCAGCAGCGCCTGGCACTTGTGTCTGACACACTTGCAGCATCTTGCAACCGAGTCTATATGGTAAGTTTGGAACGAGCCACTTGCTCAGCCTGCGACCAAATCTCGCAAACTACCAAACAAAGAGATTCGGCTCGGAGATGTTGGGTTCATGTTTCGAGTTGCCCGATAAACATAATGTGCACAGCAGTTTGCGTCCTGAAGTGAGCACCCAGCGGTTAGCAATGAACATGTACATGTCGAGAGAAAGAACGCTGTCGAGAGCAGCAGCCAAAGCAGTCGTCTATAAGAGACGTAACGCAAGCTTGATGCCGTCGCAATTTTCCCTCCTTGCGACACGCCTGCTCTGCCTTGCATCTCCGACCAGCACATGACAAAGCTTTTCCAATACGCGCTCGTCTGAATGCAACTAATTTAGTTCCTACATCCTACGCCCGTCTGCTCAGTCTCACTGAGCTCTGGTGCCGCAACTTTCGACGTCCGTCCTTACTCGACGATAAAGTTCATGGGCTTGTTCCAGATCCTTAGACTACTGAAAAACAAGTAGCATGTTCGCACGGGTGCATACCGCCGAGCTAGCGAGCACTATCACACAACAACATCGGTCACCTGAACATCTCATCATTTTGCATCTCCAATGTCTCCAAGGATCCACTTGTTGGCTGACCACTTTGTCCCGCGCTTCACCGCGCAACCGGCATGGAGGGATGTCTGGCAGGGAACAGATCAGAAGCAAAAGTTGCCACATGCTTCGCCTAGACCTGCGGCCGGTATATGGGTTCAAGTCAAGACCCGAACAAGTCTTCAGATCTGCCCTCACTGGTCCCTAGACGTCATCGAGCGCGACAATACACTACAAGTACCTTGGAGACAGCCACTGGGGGGTGGGCGACACGGCAGTATGACGGGGAGCTGTGCAAGCATCATGAACATGTAAAGGGATCAAGTTCGGGCTATCGGACTCTCCAACCGAACGTCGACATGCCTCGTCCATCTCACCGGAGGGGTGCATTGAGTAGAAGATCATGATCCGTCCACGCCTGTAAAAGGCAAAGAGCAGCTCGTGCAGTGAGACAGAAAGCTTACATTGTGGCCTGGGATAGACGGATACTCCTTTGGAGCAGTCCGCGAAGTCACGCGGCTGTGGCCGCCCGCCAGCGCGTGGAAAGTTTGTCTGCCCGCCTAGCAAGGAGGCCATGTTCCACAAGATGCATTTGCTCTTGCAGCTACTTGTAGTGCTCTGCAGTTGCCTTTGGCTCTAGCCCAAAAGAGTTCAAGCACGATGCGGGGCAATCGCCTTCCTCCACATCGGACAGGTAGAAAAACACCGTCGCCAATCCTGGGCAGTGCGTGACAATTCCTCAGCAGTGCTCGAGGCTGCTCGAGCCGACACGCAGCTGCAATCAAGCCGCTGTTGTATAGACCCTTCTTGATCATGTCCTGTATGTCTCTGTTGCTCTTGTACATGGCAGGGTCGAAGTAGTCATGGTGCGCCTTGGAGCAGTGAACCGTGGCGGGCCCACACAGGAGTAGTCTGTGAGTTGAAAGTTGAAAGACATGACCATGTGCTTACGAAGAGGGCTCCTTTCAAGACTGAAGTTCAACACAACTTCCCACTTCGCGGCGCTCCAGATCTGAGCAAACAGCTAACACATTATTACCAACTCTCCCGCCTCATTTTCAGTGACATGCCGGACTTATACAGGCAGCAGCTGTGACAATCTGCGGCCAGGTTGCAACATACTGCTCTCCTTCCCTTGCAGCAGGCACCATGGGCTTCTCAAGGCTCCGGCAATGGAGGATTCCAGGTTTAGGAAATGAGGAAATGGACTTGTCACCCGTTACGAGCACGAGGATCCGTGAGGATCTTCCAAAACAAACTCGGCCATGTGCTGCCCAGACTCTCATAGCGCAAGATCTGGGAGTACTCCTCTCTGTGCCGAGAGTAAAGCTATCTAAAAGCTGCCAGCCAGTCAAGAAGGCTTCCTTCACACTGGTCATATTTTACTGCTGGGCTTCGGCAATTTGCAATCTCTGTATGTGTCTGTGTGTGTGCAGGAGGGTGTACTGCCCTCGTTCATGCTCACAGGGGTAGCTACACCCCTTCATTTGCATGTTCACCTTCAGCTCATTTGGTGCTACACCATTGTGTCTGACGTAGGGGTGCAGGAGCCTCAACCCTTGTGGATCACCTCAGTTGCTTTGTGTGCCATTCTTTGTGTTTACCAATGCTTTGGAGATCAGTCCAGCTTGCAAGTGTGTAGCTGTGGCACCGTAGTCTGCTGCGACTTGTTCAAGCCCTCCCGCTAGAGTTTGCTTAGTAAGCATGCATTTCTCTTGGTTCACCTTTCAGAAGATGTTTCAACTCCACAGTGCCCAGTTCCCTCGGGCCGGAAGGACTAGACGTTCAAGATCTAATAACCCATGCACTTACATGTGTCCAAAACGGGTTAGCGCAAGAAAAAATCTTCGACCCAATGCTCGCAACTGTATCATGAGCGTGGCAGCACTGGATCGTCGCCTGGACGGCCACAGTGCATGCAATGAGCTGTCCTGATGTGATTTCTTTATCAGAGTCAGAGCACTCACGCGATCGTCCAGGCGGTGCAGCGTGTCGTCCTCTGAACAAGTAACAGTAACAGTCCCAGAACTTCGTGACGAACGGGACGACTGCTTACGGCCCCTTCGAAGGTTGGTTGAACTCAAGCCGCAGCCAAATGCTCCAAGAATCGGTTCGACGAACGGTCTACGCATGATGCACCCATGAGGACCACTCCAGACCTTCTGCAGGGCTGTGCTCGTGTTCTCTGCTTGGGTCGAGCATCATCTGATCGCATGAAGTAGGTGCTGCTGGTTCGCCAGTTCGCGTCCGGCTTGCCGACGTCCTCAGCAGCAATCCACTTTGATGTCCTAGAAAGTACAATGCTAATTGAATGCGGTGCCAGCAGCTGTCCTTTTGGCAGTGATAGCGGAACCAGGTCATGCCGCCAAGCCTCGTGATCCATGTGCTTCACCGCAGACTTTTCAACATGTGGCAGTGCCTCGCAACATACTGCTGCGCATATCCACACGCTTATGCATTGTCCACTCGGCAGTCCGCGACACCACCTGCAACGCCGGTAAGCCCTGGCCTTGTCAATAACATGCTGGCAGTCGGCATCGTTCAAGAATGATGATATTTCGAGCACCAGGGGTTGCAAGCTTCCTGCGATCTTCGCGGGAGGCACAACTCCCCCGCGGCACCGCCACAGGGTGACACCAAGCAGCATCAGATCCATGACCAAGAACTTGGCACAAAACCTTTGGCAGCACAGTCTCTTTTGTCTTTGCCAAGATGCGTGTCTCTATCTCCAGGCTGAGCGCTCCCGACTTCTTGGGCCTTTATTTTTCCGGGGGCTCACAAGTGCTCCATACGTGTGGCAACGCAAATCAACTAACATCTCGAAGGCCACTTGCGGTGACCATCACGATGTTCCAAGCTCTTGGCTCGATGGTCACATTGCGGCGGAAGCCAACTTCTACACCTGCCCAAGCCCAGTGCTCAGGTGTGGCTCGTCACAAGGGAAGGGACCAGTGGCCTGGCCAAACGAAGACGCCGCCCTCGAAAACAAGTATCATCCCTGAGACTGTCAGTGGGCGCAATGCTACCCCCATCGTCTTTATCAGCTCAAAAACCGAGCCGCCAGATACCCCCTCCAGGGATTCAAGCCGGCGAGGTGCCCGTCCGTTCTCCTCAGGAGCAGGGACGGTAAGTCGGACTGCTGAGCGCGACAGCTTGTCGGATGCCTCTACAGCAAAGACGGCAACGTTGAGCAGTAACTTGTTCTGCTTCGCTCGCCCCTCACACAGGGAACGCGTCAGCAGTGAAAAGCAACCTGGCGACATGCCGTACACAGACAGTCAGGCTTTTTGCTCAGCCACTGGCGTCGCACTGATACATTTGCATTGTGAAATGTCTAAGTCTAAGCCTAAGCAAGATCAATCGTTCCGGGGACTGCCTGAGGTAGAATGATTGCCAACAATCAGACATGTAAGTAGCAGCTGCAGTTGGCCACCTGAAGGTCTGTGCGCCCTCGGGAGCCCGGGCGTGCTACCCGTCACTAATTATTTACTCTTGGTCCGGCAAGACGGTTCCGGATGCCCAGACGTGGTGATCAGGCCCCGGTACACGGACAGCTGCTATTGAGCCAGCTGCGCACTGGAACTGCCGTAAGGTGATGCCTGACTGGAACTCGGCTGGTATCTATCCAAGAGACTTCCAGGGCTTGGTCCTAGCTCCTATCTTCCGTGCTGCCAACGCAAGGAAACAACGATGTAAAGCGACTTGCTCTGCTACTTGTGTGTCTTCAAGAGAGTAGCCTGACTCGTTGAGCGACGGGCTTGTTAGCGATGTTCTGTTTATCTCCCATGAGGCCGCTTTGGCCCAGTCGGCCACTTATCATCAAAGGCAATCTGGGAAAACGCCCAAGGTGCAGTCACTTGGAGCCTTTCACTCACTGCGGCTCCGGCTCTCATTGGGGCCTGACAGCTTGCATCTGCGGAACCTGACAGGATGGCTTTCATTTGAACGAATCATGCCGGTCCCAGCAGAACATGCATCGACGAGACCGGGGCAGCGCAGCTGCAAGCAGCTATGGAATCCATTGAAAACGCGACTTGCTCACCTGCCAAAGTATCTCAGCATTCACTTTTCGGGCGGAAGGGAACATCCCAAAGTCAAATGTTCTCAAGTCACGCCCTGTCCTGTTGGGGTTGCTCTGCTGCATGCTGCAGTTGCAGCAGCAACTGCCCAATCTGTGGCCTCGCTGCAGCCTCCGAATACCGGCGGCAAAGGTTTCGGCATGGTGCGGAGAGTCTACTGTGCCCTGCTGCATATGAGGAAATGATGTGCGTGAAGTCTGGGCGGTCAGAGTTCGTCAGACTCTGTCCGTGTAGTACTGTGAATTCTGGACACCTTGCGCTTGCGATCGCTGCAGACTGCGATGCGCCCCTGGGAGGCCTCGTACTGCAGCGCGTAAGCAATCACAGACCTGATGCGAGCCTGCACCGAAGCTCGGCTTTTGTAGGTCACTTTAGGGCAGCTTTCACCTTGTTAGAGTCGTTTTGCGCAGAATGCATCGTTGTGAACCAATACCGGAACCTCCATGTTGTCAGGCAGCGGTGGAGGCAGCTGCTGCACAAGCAGCATGTTCAGGATCTGCTGAACGTTACCTCGAGGCCACTTCATTTAAGGTTCAGATGTCCTTAAGTTGAGTCGTGTCGAGCCCGTTTTTTCAATGCTCTGTGGAAGCCGAGTGGCTGCATTCTGCATAGGGCTGACATTGCCCGAAGATCTCTAGCAGAATGCAGGCTGAGGACCTCGGTACAGGCTGTGTCTGTGCTGATCTTGCCGTGGGTGACACATCACCATTCGCAAAACGTACAGAGTCTTCGCTATGCCGTCATTCAAACCTTCTACCTGCTCGCAAAGTTCACTTAGCCACTGGCCAAACGTCGGTTTTCCTGAGATGAGCCAGAAATCTGAAAGCATCGCACACTGGACACCTCCTGCTGCCGTTCTACGGAATCGATTCTTTCGTGCGCACTGGCGACAGCGGGGCGCAGTCAGCCAGTCAGCTCCAAAGCTGCTGCCTAGTGGCTCTGTTTGCCCGCCCAGCTGCTCGTCAAAGCATTCTGGCGCCATGTACCTTCCGTGCCACTGCAATGGATTTGCAGCGGGTGCGAGGTTGCACGTGCTTGACGTCATCGACTCTTAGCCTGCCCTGCTGCCTTCTCGACTGCTGGACAAAATCGACTGTTCTGGGATGCCCTGATTGACATGACCCTGTCGCTGCGCCTTGGGGAGCCGCCCCTGCCCAGCCCACGACGGCCTGCGCCCGCCAAGCGTGAAAGGCCGAAGTCGCCTTCGATGCTTCATGCCCCGTGCAAGATGTAGACACGGTTTAGGAGGGATGCTCATAGCGAATCTGCTGTGGGGCTGAGTGCTGGCTTCGGAGAGGCTTTTGAAGCCACCTGCCACGAAAGTCCTGTGCACGAGACAAATTCAAAGGAAGAAGTCGACTTGAGGCTTTCCAGGTTTGCACGTGGGAGCTTCGAAAGCTGTCGGAATGCACCCGCAACCCCCAAGTGCTCGACTTGGAAGTTCGGAACACGCCATCTGGCCAAGCAGCAAATTTGAAGATGTTGCATATCCACGTCCAGCACCAGGTTCATTGACTTCCTTACAGGATGTGCTGGGGCCAATTACAAAACACATTGCAAGCGCCCGAATTATTCGCTGTGTGAAGCACTGCCGAGGCCGGAGGACCCCGATCCCGATGTCACTTTCGACTGAGCATCAAATCCAGGTGCAGCACGGCTGGTTGCAAGGAGTGCAGGTAGCGCACACCCTCCAAACAGTCCATCGCGAGTTGAAAGCAAATCTCTCTGCTGAAACTGTGCCTTCGCACATGCAGTGCATGGTGCAGATTTCCACCCGGGGCTAACCGAGTCACCAAAGCAAGCTGTGTAGCTTCCAAACACGCCCCAACAAGTGGCACCAGTCGCGGGTGGCTGAGTTTGGTGAGAATCTTAATCTCAGCCAACATGTCCTCCACAGCCTCACAGCTGGATGCAGAACCTTCGTAGTGGAGTGCTTTCACCACCACGGGTAAACCGCGATACACAGCCTTCTGCACAATCATGATTTCACCTCTGCTCAAAAGCTCACCAAATTCCAGCTCTGCGAAATTCAGAAGCTGGTCTTGCGAGAGAGTCCGCGAAATACTTTCCATTGTGGGTGGAGTGCAGCTGTCGTTGACGACTGTAAGCTGAGTCTCAGAGTTCTGGCGTGAGGGGTTGTCGCTGGCCGGCATGGCCGTCGAGGCAGTACCCACGAGCGCCGGCATCTTTGGCGGGGCAAATAGGTCGCCTCTTTCGGAACTTGCAAGTGAATTCACGGCATGCTGAAAGAGAATACCGGCTTCTTCGGCATCCAGTTCGATGGCAAGACTTCGCTTGCGGAGCAGAATCGTGAGGTTGGCCGCATCTGTGCATACCGCTATAGTATCTTTGACTTGCGGCTCCACTTCGATGGCTGATGCGAAATGCCTTGAGGCAGTGTTGAGATCATTCTTGCCTGGAGGTGGTCCAGCTTCTTGACCTTCTCTCGCAGCGTTGCTGGCCGCATAACCTGAGTCTGCTGCCTCATCGGTGCTTCCCGTGAAGAAGCGCATCAGGCTTGTGCGCCACTGACCTCTCGGCCATGCAGCACGAACCAGTGAGGCAAGCCACTAAGCTAATATGTCTGTTACATGATGTGTCAATACGTGACAAACAATTAAACAGAGATCGATGCAGACAAGCAAAAATGAGTAAAGCGTCTTTGTCGCTTTAGGCACCGCCCGAACCTGTGACAGGGCTGCCCTCGCTCAGTCGCGGTGAGATTCCAGGGACTTCGCTCCTGTCCGCACTGGCGATAGACGCATCTGCACCTGCTGTTGGGGTGGGGCAAGGTGTGCTTTCCACCCGAGATCTTGATACTGACTGCATCTGTTGCAGGCTCTTCGCCAAATGAACAGATGTACCAGACTGCATCAAGAAACAGCCTGATGCACGCCGATGATAGCAAAGGCATGCCAGCAAATGGACCAACACCTGCTCCTTCCTGGCATGACGGGATCATGTCTGCCACATATGGAATGCTGAATGACGCGGCTTTGGTAACCTTGGTCTGCTCGATCGCTGTGCGTTTGTGACAATGCAGGCGCTCGCTCCTGCTGTAGAGAAGAGTGAAGGACTGCCGCAAGCATTTCTGCAGGTATTCAATGGCGCAGCCAAACTTGTTCTGCCCTCAGATGCACTCCGGCAACGAGGACTTCTGCCTTTTGCGTCTTCTGCCCAGGCTCTCAGCAAGAGCTGTGCTTGCATCAGCAGGGCCTCTGGGCCTCGGCCAAGGAGGCGTGCAAAATGCAGACTTCGAAAAAGAGGGTTGTTTTTCGCTCAGGCGCAGCAGCCGTCGCCCTGCAAAACCTGACAGGGAAGCGGCTGGAAGTCTGCACTTCGCTTTGCTGGATCAGGAATTGGGCGGCAATGATTACATGCAATTAACGTATACGACATGGCCGACAAACGATCGCCTACCTCGTTGACACTGACATGCCCCTGCAATAATTGCAGATGCGAGGCGTTTTGCAGAACTTCTTCGGCATCGTCCCACTGGCCAAGCGTGAGATGCAAGAAAGCCTCAGCTCAAGTCTACGCCTACGCACATTCCTATGGACTTTGGTCTGCAAGACGTGACGAGGAGCTGCAGCGGTTTGCGTGTCGAAGTTGTCACCCATTTGGATGACATCTGCTTGTCGAGGCTTTGGCTGCATTGCCTACGCGGCGCTTTTCTGCGCAGCAATGTCTCTGTTTTATGCCGTGTGTTTGCTCGCCGGTTTCCACTATGCGCCTGCAGACGGACCAGGAACGCTTCCATGCTCTCCCGCAGCGGACTATCCCCATCGCAAGTTTGCAGCGTTTCTGAAACCTCAGTTGACAGTTGAAATGCTGCTGAGAGCAAAGCCTACGAGCACGCCGACGACAAGAACGCCTTCTGTTGCCTTAAGCACACTGATGGTCGTCTCAGGCAGGCGCAGCTTCCACAGCCGCCTCGAGATCAAAGTTGCGAAGGTGGCAGAAGCTCTTCAGGAAACGTGCCAGAAGCAAGGCCTTGTCAAGGCCGAACAGTCATGTCATGTCTGTGCGTTCTGTTTTTCGGTCAGTCTTGTCCCATGCTAGGGTCCCAGTACCCTGCAGCCTCCGTGTTTGCTCCAGCTGGTCTCTGCAAGGCCTGGCTGCTCCATGCTAGAACTGCAGCGTTGAATCTATTAAATCGACATGTGACTCATGCCAATGCCGGGGATAAAGCAATTCTGGTTCCTAGGGCCGAGGGCTGCATAGCCCAATGGCCGCCTGATGGCAGCAATCCATGGCCAGGCCGATCTGCTGCTGCAAAAGATAGCTCAAAGCCTCTGTGCAGCGAGTCTGCTTTTGACACCTTGCAGAGCTGCAGCCAAGCCGCCATGCATGCGTGTGCCATGGCGGCCAGAGACAGATCAGCCTTTCGAGATCTTTCGACATGCCCAGGTTTAGCTGAAAGATGCCGAGCGTTGTCGCTGCGCCTTGCCTCGGCCGCCTTGCGAAGAAGCGCCCGGCCGGAGTCAAAGCGTTCGGAGAGGACCAGTGCCTCACCCACAGGCACACGCACAGATTGACATGAGTCCATGGTGTCTTCACAGTGCATCAGCTTGCACACCTGCGTTGGTAAGCAACTCGTGTTGCAGGATTCTGATGGGGCAGCCGGGGGGGGCGGCGGTAGGAGAATCAATCGCATTCGAGCCTGCGTCGCACACTCAACATATGTCATCTGCGAAAACCGCACCTCGCCGTACTGAAAAAGATGGCAGGGCTTCAGCTCGTGCTTTATGCCTGCCGCTTGAAACATCTCCTGGGCCGAGCAAGAGGTTGTGGTTCCACTCCAAGTACACCAAGACACACTCACTATGAATTTTACTATGCATGGATTTGCCACTCGCCCTGCACGTTCTCAGCAAGCAGATGCATCATAAACTTGCATCATCTTCAGATTCCCGCATGTGAAGCACACGTGGCGTAGCTACGCTACAACAAAGCACCCTCGAGAGCCCTCACAGCCGATACAGTGCAAAACCGCCAGGCCAGGTGGCCGCTGCTTCGGCGAGGCGCCCGGACTCGCCCAGGGTCTGAGGTGAGATTCTAAGCCGATCCCGGAGTTGACCACTCCAGCCCCGCAAGACCCAAACCCTTTTCAACCAGTCTTTGGGAGGTACTGCGCAGACCATGACTGCTGGAATGTGATAAACGGCCTGCGGAGTTAAGCACATGCTATCTCCAAATGACGCCTCAGCCAGTCGCAGGGCGGCAGAGCTGTCGGGGTCCCATGCTAGCGCCTGCAGATTGAGGTGCCCGTGCAAATCCGCACAGAGATGCCATGATGCCAAACCAGGTGCACGGCCTGTCGATACCACTTCTCTGCCTCCTGAAGGTTCCATACTTGCCATGCATTTCTGAGAAATATGCAGGGGACACAGATATGAGTTGGTTTCCAGATTAAAGCTGGGAGCACTGCTTGGCCGCATGCTACGGTCATAATCTCGGCTAGACCCTTTCATCATCTTTCTTGCCTCCTTACCGACTTTCAAAGCTGCCTCAACCCCCCATTCAAGAAACTCCGAACTTGAATCTTGCCTGTGGCCGCAGCTGGCCTAACTGGCTGCATGCCTCGGCTTCTCAGGCGTTTGCTGCGCTCCAAGATGACATTGCATTCGTTAACTGGTCATGCCCGACTTGATGTCAAACCTCGTCTGTTTGCGAGCGGCCTCTGCGCGACCCCGGCTATCCACGTTCGGGAGGTGGAGCACGCCCAAGAGAAGGTCCTGCAAGCTACGCCAAATTCACCTAGTTGCTGGCACGTGCTACGCTGTTTCCACTGTGAGCTCCTCTGCTCGGTCCGGGGCGAGGACCTTCCAGCGACAGGGACGACTTCGAAGCCTACTGTCAAACGTCTTCGGGCCAGCGCAACTGCTCCGGCCCGCCCCGGTTTCCAAGCGCCAGTTTCTGATGTGCAGCTACTGATCTGTAACAATGGCAGCACATGAAGTCTGACATCTTGGCTAGTGCAAACTCAAGAGTGGATTGTTTGGTGAGTTGGACAAGACACCGACTTGTCCCGGACAAGAGGGTGCAGAGGCGGAATAGTTGAACTTAGCTTTAGCTGCCCAAACAAGCCGGGTAAGGTAATTGTGTAGCGTTCGTGCATGTCCTAGAATTCGCGGACTATGCCATGCTGCATTATGCGTTCAGCTTCGGACTCGCATGTACTCGCCTCACGAGGTTGGTCGTTGCAGTTCGTTGAAGAAACACTATGAAAGGCATCCGAAAGCTCCTTCGGCACTCACTCCCGGACAAGCCAGGCGAGGTTGGACTAGTCCGGAATCGCATGCACTTCGCCATGGCGAAAGGTAGATTCGGGTCGAGCTGGGCCGACCCGCCTTCAAGGTCGCTGCTGCCGAACGCCAAGCTTCTGCATGCTGCGCGGACAGCTGCTGTCCGAACCGAAAGAGTCCATCCACCTTCTCAAGGGGAAGGCAAAGATTAACAGCCACAGCCTCTACAGCTGGCCGACAGGGTGAGGGCAGATGCACGGGCCTCATCTAGCTGTGCACAGACCTCACCAAGCCGCGCAAAGGCCACTGCATCCTCCGGCTTGGCTAGGACCTGTCGGCGAAGGCAGACTTCCATGGTTCTCAAGGATATTCTGAACGCTCTCCTGGTGCAACAACACCGAAGCAATGCAGAATGGCCCTCCGGAGCCTTCGCCTTCCACTGCTCGCGAAACACCACCAGCTTCTGTCGCTGGGCAGACGCGTCGGAGATGTCAGCCTGCATGCCAAGCGCATATTGCTGCCTTTCACCTTCGCTCTGAGAACTTGTTCTCTTCAAACGTGCTTGCTTGGTAGTGCCGAGCCTCCCGACCATCAGGAGGTGGTCTTGAGACAACAGGCCGGACAGCTCTGAACTGCATGGAGGCCTAGCATGTATTGTGCTGCAGCGTCCCACGCTGACGGTCCACTCGATCATTCATTCATCACAAGATATTGTCATCTACCAATCGTTTTTAAGGATCGATACCGCCAGCTCACATGTATCTATCGGAAGTCAGGCTTGCGAGTCTCCGGCTACAGCAACTACAATTAGGAATTTCGTGTTGTCGCTCAACCTTAAACGGTGAGGGCACAAGTATAGCCACTCCGGAACTGCATTCTCCAATGGATGGCGGGGTTGGTTTCTTGTAAACACACGACAGCAAAACCATGACTGGATAGACCAGTATACGCTTTCGTAACCCTCACAGAAAACATCAGGCCTCGAGGTCGCATTAACCGTAAAGTTTTCGCAGCCATCCAAGCAACCGCTTGCTTGTGCCGGAAAGCTTGCGGAAAGGTTCAGGAATCAGGTCATTGCCACTGACCGTCGCACGCGCAGTAGTGCTCAGCAACACATGTCCCCTCAGCAGTCGGTACACGGGGCGTTTAAAGTGTGCATCTGCTTCGCTCTAGGACTCTAGGCGAAACGCTCACCAGCCTTCGTGAGAGCATCGTATCTCCACTGATTGAGCGGAGGACGCTTGGCCTGCGCATAACACGTGCGATCCCACTTCATGTCGCTCAAAAGCTTGCCTCTTGAACCCTTGATATTAAGTCGAACGAGCCTCAACAGATCCCAACAACGATTGAAATTGACAATGCAGAGGCCACCTTGTCTTTGAGCCCAGTCTGGGGCTCTTGCCATCAACAGGTTCTGAAGCGCAACCAGTCCTGTGCAATTCATGTTTCAAGCTTCGGTGCAGAGGAACCAGCTGTGCCGCGGAGCTGCGCACTTCTATGTTCTCCCATTCTGGGGACCGGCAGGACGGTCCTTGTTTTCCTTCCTGTGCAAGCTCAGGTGGAAGGTCATCCAAATCCTCCAAAAGAAGCGGCATTCAGCGGCAGCAAGCTTTCTTGAATCGGCAATCCAACACATACGTCGTGACATACGTCTCAGACAAGTAAGCGAACGCGGCCGCGGCCAGTGACCAAGCGCTGCAGATGCTAGCAGCAGTTGATTACGGTTGATCCGCCACATGCCAGCTCGAAACCAGCATCTGTCCTCGCAGTCCTCGGTCAGTTCCGGGAAGCATGGCCAGCACATGCAGTTGAAGTCTCAAGCCACGTTGGCCGATTATTCCCCTCAGAAAGAGGAACCCTTACCTGCTTGCTGTCCAGCGGCACCAAGAAAGCCGGACCAACAAACCTGTGCCAATTGTGGCGAGTGTCGATGTAGTAAGTAGCACAGTGCAAGGGAATCCTATTCGTGGAAGGACTACTTCGCCTTCGAAACCTCGAGTTTGCAGGTAGCATGCTGGCCTGTGCACGAGCGCTGGCAGCACACCGGCCCTCATCACTGCCTTCGACCAGGGGAGCCAAAATAGATGTAAATAAACATGCGCGGAAAATCATGCAGCCGCTGTCCCGGCAAATAAAGGAGGTACATCAGGCCAAATTGAGGTACGTTACCCGGACTTGAGCACTTGTCATGAGGAAACGCGAGCGATGGGCTGCGCCTTCGCTGCAAAGGCCAGCGGCCAAACAAAGAACATGGTAGCCTCGCGATCGCCATGATGGTGAGATCCAGGCCTCAAGTCTCAAAGCCAGACGGTCATCAGCAAGTTCGCAGTTTACAGCACACTCTCAAGCTCTGAGGCATGTCACAAGTGGGTTGATGACACAGCAGCTCAGACTCCTTTTGCATGGTGACCGTTTTCATGTTCGTGCATGAGAGGGTTTGCATTAAGGTCGAATGAGAGCATGCGGCCTCAACCTCGATTCTGTAAGCAACCCTAGTTTCATCAAAAGAACCGTACTCACATTATGAGAACGAAGACTCCTTTCCTTGGCCTGCATCAGGGATCACATTGGGTTCACAAACAATGCCAACAATCAGAATGATTGAATTATTGTGGGCCGTATTCCTCCCAGCGACAGTCGGGTCAACTCCACCGCAGAGTTCCCGGGAAAGTTCTGTCGCAGAGCCTGCACCAAGCCATGCTTTGACTCCCCGGAAAGACTCCGATCCGATGCTTCTTTGGGCGGAGAACCATCCAAGGACAAGTGGGATTGAGTGGGAGAGATGTGCTCTGAGTGCACCACTGTACGCTTCTTGGAGGTAAGAAATGTGCAGTTGAATACACAAGACCCATCTATTCCAAGCTCAAGAGACCCGCCTGGGATCAGCCACAAGAAGCAGGCCGAGAACCTGGAACTTCGTTTCGACATGTTCTTGGATCTTCCTGCTTAGAGGCCGGTGGTTCTGATCATGTCGCAGGTGCCAGGCATCAGTTTGCATGTGCAGAAGGTAATTGCACTAATTGGCCCGTCGACATTACATGGTGACTCTTCATGACTTCAAATGTAGACGAAGCCTCTCGTAGAAGGTGCTCCGGATCAATCTCCTCCAAAAGAACAATGCCTCGATCAGGATCATCTGCCGCTGAGATTCCACCTGTGCGACCGGTAACCTGGGTCTCCATCGTGCCACATGTCGCTGAGAGAGCCCGAGGAACTAAATGATTTCGCTAGAGTTGTGTGCTGGAAGTCGCGATGGCTCAGCACATGATGCCGTAGGTGGTAATGAAAGTTTGAGGCTGTGAAGGCTTTGTTCCAGCAGTCCTGTGCAAAAGCAGGGGGGAAGATGAGTTTTTGGATCGCTCTGCTGATGTCGTGGGTGAGTGAGAGTTTGTTGAAGGCCGATGTGTGTCAATGGCAAAGCGGCAAAGCTACTCTTGAGCCTGCCTTCGTGATCGTGAAGCGATGTGAAGCGGCACGCCGGCCCCGGCCCAGGGTGCACATCCCGTCCAGAGCGCATGAACTGCCCTAAACGCACCTCTTCGGGCAGAGAGCCATCTGCCGGAGTGTTCCAGGTGCCATCAGCCCCTGCCTCGCCCAAGCTCTCACGCACGGTACGCAGTGTTGTAGAGCTCAGTGACATGACGTTCCCGATCGGTTCTGGCCCCTCCTTACTTCCCCTTCGCTGCTTCCAACATCGACGTCTCATGCAGACCGCCTGCGGGCTTAGAGTTCGAAGGGCAATCAGCTGCCTGATCTGCCTCAAAACAGCGGTTTATTACTCCATTGCGTGCTGCAGCTTGCAAGGCGAGGTGGGTGCAGTCAACTCAGCCCCCTGCGTCAAACTCCTCGCGAGCTGACCCGCCAGAAAGGCATCCTGTGCTGCACCGACGCGAAGAGCAAGCAGCACAGTTCCGATAACTTCTTTAAAGACAGCAGCTGCCGTTGGGCATGCGAGGTCCAAACATCTATACAAGGCCGCATGTGCAACGGTTCTGCAAGACTTCTGTTATTCTCAGGTGATGTGGGGATCATAGTGTTTCCATTGTGGGTTACGTGCTATGGAACAGGTGGAGTTCATGGTCAGCACGACTGTCAAGAAGCCAAAGCTGCGCATGGCTGCATTTAGTTTCTGATCTCCACCCTGCCCTTTCGATATTCGGCAAGAGGAAAGATTGCGCATACCACCTCCCACGCATTTGTGCGTGGTGTGAAACTGCAATACTGAGCACCTCGGCTTGGCTGTGCGAGCCCAGCCATAGAGGCCCTCATTCCTGTCACTGCTTCATTAGAATCTCACCTAGGTCTGAGACAACGCGACGGGAGCCCTTGTTGTTCACCTCAGCCAGGGCCTCAGCGGACGCAAAGCCCACCCTGCAGAATGGTCCCATGCGCGGAGTGTTGTTTCAGATCATGAGTCCTGTGGGAAAAAGAATGACCGAGGCACGGAGGCCAACTGCGGGACGACGGTGTTGTTCAAGAACTCGCGTGGTGGTGCAGACTTCAGGGCTGGGTCAGACGTTTGCGGGGCGCTCGCCTCGGAAGGCAGGCAATGTGCGAAAGCAAGGGCTGGAACTACACGGGAGTGAAAGTCACAGGCATGCCTGAAGCATGAGCACAAGAGGAAAAGAGTTGCTGGTGCTTCCGTGAACCATTTCGCCGACACTTTTCTTGCCAGCAAGCGCCTATCAGCAGAGGACGCGGCAACACATTGCAGCCACATCAACCTATACAGCGCCACAAAATCTACAGCTTATGCTGCCGCAAAGCGGTTGTGATGACAGTACACCATCTGGGTAGAACAACAGAAGAAAACCAGAGCTCTTTATACACCGTCCCACAGAAATCAACCAACCAATTTTGCTAGCAGTATTAAACTATCGTCATCCTAATCGTCATTTTGTGATTGTTGCTACGCTAGAGGTGGCGGTGTTCCCCATGGTGCCGTGCCCGTGTCCTTGTCGGATAGCCTTCACGGTTCTCCGCACCAGCTGTCATGCAGATCACTGCACTAAGACTTGCCACCTCATCTCCAGCCCCCTCCCCTTGTGGTTTGGATGCAGGTTGATTTCCGGTGCGAACGATGCAACTTATCCCCGCGAAGACGAAGAGAGTTCTACGCAGATCTCACCTACGGGCCAGCTACTGTGTTGCCTGCGAAGTTGCCCTGCCCTTCTTGTCGAAAACTTGCGAGAGTCAGGAGAAGCATGACACCAATAGTTTCAATCCCAGCGACTGTTGAGTATTGGCAGTTTAACAGTTTTAAACATCGCATGGTGACGATCCCATGCTCCGAAAGCGACGACTGTCGCGCCCCACAACAGGCTCGATCCCTGTGACTGTTGTCGTAAACAGCCCTGCGCCAGCGCGTGGAGGGGGGGGGCAAGGGAGCAGGGACGCCAAATCACAAGGACGTATCCATACTCATGTTTCCGCGTCGGCTGCCTGGCCCAGGAGTTTCGTGGGATCCGAAGGCCGCCGCTCAGCGAGCGCCAAGAGCTTTTCGCGAAGGTCCCGTCCCAGGGACCTGAGCTGTGATGTGGCATCCCATGCTCGAGATAGGCAGACGTAAGTATGTATGTAACTATGGATGTATGACGTATGCATAAAAACTCCGTGGGCCCTCACCCCATATCTGCATCAGATGGCGATTTGCGACAGTCCTCTTAGTGCAATTGGAACATGATTAGGAGAAGCTCCCGGGATCCCCGCATGGTGGGGGATGAGGATGCAGGCATCCGCCGCTGCACACAGGGTTGGACAGGACATATGCGTGTGAGCATCCATAGTTTTGGCCAGAAAGACCCAGCTAGGTAATTACAAAGCATTCGTGCCGAGCTTAGATGGGGTAGCCATGGGTGGCCGTTCATAGAAAGCTCCGGGTGCAGCGCGCAAAGCACGGGCTGGGCTGTTTGTCGTACCGAGATGCTGCTCCCAGTATTGCCGCATGTCCGCCGCTTGCGTCTCGAACTCTGCGGCCATTTTGGCCGAAGCTTCCGCTACCTCTTCTGCCGTTGGCTCCGGCATCGCTGAGGAGAAGGTGCTATCGCGACAAAGGATGAACGAGACCTGTTTACACAGGTCTGTACAAGATCCTGTCATCAGTTACGCTGCTACATCGGCTGCCATGCTGGGACACCTATACGGCGCTGATCTGTTTGCGGCAAGCTCGAGCCACGAAGGTCATTGCACATGACGTTCCCTGGAGGATAGTATGCTTAGTAGGCTTAGCAAGCCATCCTCACAAACAGGAGCATGCGCTAGTCATGCTAGTCTCCGTTATACAAGGCATAGAAGCGGGAGATCCCAACATGGCTGTCTATGGCTGCGCTTCCGACGGAAGTCCTGGGCAGACTCGATGGCCATGGCATCCAAGACGTGCGCGGTCTGCCTGGGCAACATACAGCGACATATGCGAAGCCCCTTGCTTCATGACACATGTGCAATGGCTTTTCACTAAGCCAACAGCTCAAGTCAAACCAACTACTAGTAAGCAATGCATCCGTGGAGATTGCGATGCCACTACGGCTACGTCACAACTGGACTCTGGCCAGTGGACTTTCATGATCTGCTTCCACGTCAGCAATGCTGAAAATACCAAAGTTGTTGTAACCATGACTTGGCACAACTTTTGCCGATGGGCGTTGTTGTGGAGCACAGACACGTGATGCCGGCGCTCTCGCAGAAGTCGGGATAAGGAAGCTGCGGCAAGTTGGGATAGCTTGGCTGAGGGTGCGACATGGAAGATGTAGATTGCGGTGGCAACCATCCGCACAAGGCCTTAATGGACGATGCCCAGAGTTGCCAGGACAGTTGGCGTTCGACATCATAGAGATCTCCTGAATTCTCCTGAACCAGCTGCCATGCAGACAAAGGATATCAAAGACATTTGCATAGCTAGAAATGGAACGAAACAGCAAGACAGATAAGCATAAAGTATGCCTCTCTGCCCGAAAAACAAGCTGTAGCAAAAAAGACGATAAGCCTCCAGCCCTTGACACAGCTTCCGTGTTCGGATGCTGTCGAAGCGCCTCTTGCCACGTTCAAAGTCACATGGAACAGCTGAGTCAAACAGTGTGCCCGTCTTTTGGAAACAGTGAATCCCAAATCTTGCAATGCTCGGCCAGGGACATCCGCAGGCCTTCTGAAGCTTCTGCGGCTGCAAATGGCAGTGTTGCGGCAAGCGCAGCTGTTCCAACCTGTTCTCGGATAGGTCGGTTTCATGCACTGAGACCCTGCAGCTCTTGCTTGGCTGTTCGGTTGCTTCCACACATGCAAGTTTGCGCAGATCCTTCTTTTGCGCAAAAAGAATGCTGCGAAACGGCTTTCAAACCTCGCGAGAACCCTACGTGTTGCAACGAGAAAAGTTGTTCTCCTTGCAAATATCTTGTGCAGTGGTGTGTGCAGAGCGTGCTGGGATGTGCGGATTGTGCCTCGGAGCCTCCCACATCAACGTGGCCACCTTGAGAATCGGTCTCATCAACAAGCATCTGACAGGATGGATGTCTTCCAGAATCTTCCAGACCGTACGTACGTTTCAGTGCACTTGCTTGATCGATGCCCGGGATCCAGACCATCTTCTCGAGAAGCTCGCAGCCAATACAATTTTCCGACATGCTGGACTGCAGGCTCCTCGGCTGACTTTTTTCCCTCCTACCTAGCAAGGACAAGCCCTCCTCGGCTGATGCGGGTGTCAAAAAGCCTCTTGACTGGGTGAGGCGGCGGCGTCAGGTTGACGGCATGGAGCTTTGGCAGCAAAGCACTGGACATCGACCTTGCAACACTCGGGCGAGTGCGGGTTCACTCTCGGCCATTGTCATATATTGTCACTAGAATCGCCAGGCAATGTTTTGTTTGCTGCCGGCAGCCAAGGACTGGGCCGATACTGGCGGGCAAGGGCAAGCTCCCGAATGAGACTGACCTTGGCCATCCCCAATCTTGCATCTGGTCCGCACGGCATGAGCCAGTACCTCGCAACAAGAAAACCTTTGGCGTCGATGCTCAAAATTTAGTGGTATGAACTTTCTGAAGCGCCCTCGATGAAATCAACGCCTCTGTGAAGGAGATTGAAAGAGTATGGCATGGCGATTGACAACATTAATCTGCCCAAGTTTCATCAGCCTCTCAAACTTAAACCTTTCACCAAGCGAACGGACATTCGTTTGATCTCTTGCAGCCGGCCGACCATGAAGCACCAGAGCGGGTCTTCTGTCAGTGGCTGCATCTCGCGTTCAGGTGATGGCATGTTGTTCTGCCACCTGCCAGCGGAAAGTCCAGATGCACGGAGGCACGGAAGTATTCAAACGAGTAGCGCAGCTTTGCGAGTCTGCACGGTTGTTTTTTCCAGGAGCGTCAAGCGCATGACAGCAATAGGCGTCAACGTTCAGCATGCAAAGTTCTGAGCACTTGGCCAAGCCGTTTGAGCCGGTCGCTGTGCCTGTCGCAGAAACACATGCAAGAGCAGAGCGCCCACCTGCGGCTGGCCGTCCGGCCGTCCGTGATCGGTTTTGGACGCTTCTCCAATTACCGAGTCTCTGGCAGCATTGACAGAGCTCCGTTTGTCCTCCGCATCGATGCCTGAATCGGCATGTCGTCACGGGCACGGCATGAGATCCGGGCTGGGGCTCGGGCTGCGGATTGAGGCCAAGTGAAGTCGCCGCGCAAGGCTCTCTGCAGCAGCGGGGCCTACAGTGCAAGGGAGGTCACCTGCAACTTGTGAGGTCGTCGTCGAAACTCAAATATTTGAGCCATCCTGGAGGACTCATACTCGGTGAGGAGCAGCTCAGGTCATGGCTAAGCCAGGCAGGGAACTGTGCCACCTCAGCTGAGAATGGAGTGCAGCTCCAAGCTGAGTATGCTTTTGGATCCCCCATTTAGATTGCAGCGATCTTGCCAGGTAAAATGCTGTGACATATGCCAGGCAAATATGAAACTCATTAGCTCTGCTATTAGCTCATGTGCTTTCAAGACCCCACTGGGAGCAGGACGCGAGATAGCTCCAGTCGATTCCCGTTGTGTGCCTTTCGAGGTCTTGCTTGCTTGGCTCGCGAAGCACCCCCAAAGGCCCCAAAGCTGAAGCAGCGTGGTGCCAGGACATAATCTGCGATTTCAAACTGAGTGCTGCATGAATCCTCGTGTCGCTAGTGCAAAGCTAAGGGCCGGGCGCTTGCATGGCATGTACGGCAGGTGGCAATATACCTGCCCAAATCTATCTGCATGTTTGGAATCGTGGAATGAAAGCATCGAGGGGCGGGCTCTGCACTAGCATGGCAAAACCCTGGCTCTAACGTAAGGGCGAGGCGCCACTATTATTCCATTATCACTAATTAGCTCGGTGAAAGATGAGGCCAGCTACACTTAATTGCGATGCGAGCCACCTAAGCAAGTCTTGCGCCCCAAGGAAGGGCAGCAGCAGCTTGTCGCCTTCGCCCAAAGCATGAGAACGGCATTCACGCAAAAAATCCGTCACTCTATCGTTTTCTGACAAGCGCATGCACAATGCCGGTTGGAGAACTCTACTTCCCAAGTTGGTGTGCAGTCTGCAAAAGCTGGGTTCGACGGCAAGGCAATGACGTCAGCAACGACCGGTCCGAGACCTCAGGAATCAAGGCTTTGGACCTGTTGAAACTTCAGGATCCAAGCTTTTCATTGTGTGAGTGTGTGGGTCATGAAAGCCAAGAGCAGCACCTTGGGCGAAGTCTTCCGGGTGAGTCGTCGGCGCTGAGCCATGTCCCCTGGTTGCCATAATCCTCACCTTTAAAATGCACAGCGTTTGCGTCACTCCGTGCTCCCGTCTATTTGTGACGATTCAGTCTCGTGGTCTGGAGCCAACTCTTCGAAGTGACGGCCCGTCTGGCCACTTGTGTTTTTCAAGCTAACCTGGACATGGTGCTCCTGTAGAGGATATCCTGTGCGCTGAGCCAAAAGAAGCATTCAAACAGAGTCAAAATTCTGAGAGAGGGGCGCAGAGCAACAACTGCCGGAAACAACAACCTCCAGACACAAACCCCAAGAATCAAGTCTCACGTTTAGTGAGTCTTGCCCATTGGTGCTTAACGGTGTGGCTCGTTCGGGCACGGGCAGTCTTCATGCACAAGCCCACAACGCGGGAGACCGTAAAACTAAAAGGCAGCGCCGCCCTCGCCGCCACGAAGGGGTTAGCGATTTTGGAAAAACGTGGGATTTCTGTGCAAGCGTGTTTCGGGAACATTCTGCGTAGGAGAGCAATTAACAATATCTAGAAGATACACCGACTCGATACGACAGTTTATGTGATCCATGCCAGTAAATCTTTTTAATCATATGTAAACTGTAGGTATGTAGACAGGAAGCCACCCCTAGTGAGGTGCCACCCGCCCGCGTTGACCCGCCAATGACCTCGACAACACATCTCCGCGGCGGCGAAGTGCGGCGCTGCCTAAACAACGGTGCAGTGTATCCGAAAACATTACTCAGTCGGCTGAAGCCTCTCATCGCATCAGGAAAAATGTGCGTGGATGCACTTCGGGACGTGGACACGCTGACACTTCACTTCCCACTTCCCGGAGGAAGTGCTCCGTTCTGAAGGCAAAGGCTTAAAGACTCCACGCAGATCTTCGGTAAAAAGATTAATGCGACCAGCAAGACCGAAACCAATCAACCAGCATCTTTCCTGACTTCTTGTTCAAGACTGGTTACTCACAGTAAACACTGTACCCTGTGGCTGTGGGCTTCGACCACCTACAACAACTTAGAAAGTTCTGTATGCTACCATGCAAAGACCAAACACACCAGCATCCGCGATTTCCGAACAGGTGTGGCGTGGGAGCAAAGTGATATGTGTAAACCCGGAATCAATTGAAACTGAAACCGAAAAACGAGGTCAAGTATGTTAAGGACGCGAAACTTTAGCATCGGAGACCTACATCCTTGCGTGAAACAAAGCCTGCGCCGATTTTGTCGCATGGAGCGCAAAAGAGCGTCCTGCTTGGCTCAGCCCAGCTCCTTCCTCCTGGGCCATAGGTTTGGCAGCAGACAGGAGGTCACTCAGATGCGTGGCTTCAGTTTCCAACCTACTGAGGTGACACACACTAACCTCCCAGCACCACAATCCAAACAGGGTGATGTCTAAAGAAGTCAAGTTAAGTAGGTTCCAAGTCTTTGGAAATGACTGACGACTGATGATGCGTCTGAATCTCCAGCTAGCCAGCACAACTTTCCGCCTCAGCGTCTTTCTGACTACTACTACTGCTACTACTACTACTACTACGGCTGCTGCTGCTGCTTCTACTTCTACTTCTACTATATACTACTACTACTACTACTACTGCTACTACTACTACTACTACCACTACCACTACCACTGCTACTACTTCTACTACTACTACTACTACTACTACTACTACCACCCACTATCTAGTATTTGTTCTGATTCTCACTACCATTCCGACCTGTGGCTAGGCCTGCCTTGCCATCGGTTTATCCAGCGCTGCCGAATGCTAAGGCCTGAACAGCTCGCTGCGCCTGGTGCCAGGTCAAGACAAGGTGTTTCTTTTAATCTCTCGTGCTTCCATCAGGCAGTGCACGACTAGAACTTGTCCGAGGGCTCTTTGTCTATGGGTCGGGTCGGCCATCATCTTCGCAGAAGGTTGCCTGCTGCGTGGCATGTCCGGGTGCCAGAAGTTGACCTGGCGATGAATCTCTCGGACAGGGAGTGCCCACCCGAGGCCACAGACTACAATGAGATTTGCAGCTACTTCCGCACATTGAGCTCAGTTTCTGGTTGCCAACGAAAGCTGCAGATCGCTACCGAAGTCATGCAGAATAGGGACAAGAGCTGTTTGAGGAAAAGGGAAAAGATCTTTCTTATTAAATTCACTTCCGACCCTGATCCTTCTCATTCCTGTTGGCATGGTTGCCACAGAATCACAGAAGAAATCCCTGGCCCTAATTTAATCCACTCTCCACGGTTTTCTGAATCTTGTTCCATCTGCTGACAGGCTTCGTGGAAAAGGTACACTAGGGGCTGTCTTACAAGAGGCCTTCGGACTTCGTGGTGTGGCTGCACGACGAGGTTTTCATTCATAATCTACACATCTTTCTTCACGGATTCAAGTGCTCTGTCAACGTCATGCTTCAAGTGCTTTCCAGCATCTCGTGTTTGAAACTTCTGCAGTTTGCTTGTCCGGAACTCGCGCCTAGACTTTCCCATCTTCCTGGATGCATCCTCCCTCGAGACTGGTGAACATCGTGGCACTCTCAAAAAAAGGCCCCAGCCAGAAGAACAGTGCGTGGCTGGCTTCCTTCGTGCACGACCTGCAGCACAAAGGTCTCAAATAAGGAAACAAGATTGAAACAAGTACGATCCATACGTCTGTAGCCACTTCGACCGGAGCCTCGTGCTCAAATGAATCGTCGAATATAATGCATTTTCCGGTCTCCCACTCGCCTCAGTGCAGTCACTTACATTTTTCTTGCCCGCGTAGCTGCTAGTTGGTGGGGTGCTGTTCTGCCACGCGTGAGTACTACTTGTGCAAGTGGGTGCAATGCCGTCAAAAAGGAAGCTCGTGATGAAGCTCCAAATATTCTGGCACATGCTGCGTGCCTTCACCCACCGCAGCACGACTTTACTCAGAGTCGCACGAGATTCCCCCGCACAAGTTATCCTCGGCAAGCGTGAAGCTCTGATTGAATGCCAGCAACCTGTATTATTCCTGTACCGTCTCTGAGTGGGCTGCAGCAAACAGAAATGCAGTCTTGTGACTCAGTACGTGCGTAGACCCGGCATAGAACAGTGGCTGTGCCCCTTGATCGCTTGGCTGCAATCTGGTCAACACTCGCTGCATGCGAAGCGCCTGCAGCCCTCCGGGATGTCGAGGCCCAAGTGGCAAGTCAGTCGCATGTTCGTCGGCCTGCCGACGGCAACGCGGTCGTCTGATTGAACAAACTATCCGCAATCAGGCTTAGCATTCCGTGGAATTACAAGATCATGACCAGAAAGAAACACACACTGAGTTGCAGTTACAACGCAAGCGACCTGTCTAAAATATGACTGAAAGACACACGCACACAAGACTCCATGATTCTTTTGGCAGGTGTATGCATAGACGAAATAGCCCTTCGGAGTTGTCAACCGCATCACAGGTGTTTGGCTATGCAGCGCTGCAAATCTGAGGTGACAAGATGACCCCGGCCCGATTCCTAAACAGTAATACAGACAAGAAACATCAACACCCCTTTAGTTCTGGAAACAGGCCCCGGCCCGCAGTGCGGCCGCAAATGCGTACCAGGTTGGAGGCGAGAGAACAAAGACCTGGGCTTTAGCCAAAAGCTTACTGTACACTCTGAGACTCTGCATATGTGCGGGCTTAGGAAATCTAGCAGATCAGCTCGAGCTGAACTGTTCGGTCACACCGTAGGAGCTAAACAAGCTTAATGGCAGGGCATGTTGAGGTCAAGTTTGTGCGAGCGCGTGCACATGCCTGTGCTTTCTAAACTGGAAGGCCAAGGGCACTTGAAAACTTATGCACAGAGTTTGCGCATGTTGCGCTCACTAAGCTGTGCATTAGTGTCCCTGCCACCTCCATATCTTTGGGAGGCGCTGGCGGGATCACAGAAAAATGCTGCGCGCCAATACTTCACGCAAGAGAAATTGAGGCAGGGCTCTTTAAAGTTAAAGTCACGGCCAATGTTGGCATGCCGCTATGGCTTCAAATTGCAGCTTCTCCAGTGCATCTTGCAAGGAGGTCTTTTCATCAAGTCCAACGTGCCTCTTTCAACTCATTTCTCGTTGGAAACCTCGTCGAACTGCCTCCCAAAGGTCTTGACATGTCTTGACTTAAGGGCTCAACCGCAACCCCGGCTTGACATGACTTGGAGCGAAGTCTTGTTGTCAGCCCTTCTCCGGAGCCGTACAACAAAAGCAGGTGCCGACTCTTTTTGTTCACGCAATCCTTCTGGGTATAGGCTGTAGCATGCTGTGGCTGAATCGGGCCATCTGTGTAAGGCACTCCATCAGAGACTGGGCTCTCAAACATCAGCCTGCCTTGCATGCTGCACGACCTTCTCCGAAAATTACTTTGCCAAACCCCCTTCGGCGACCCGAGAGAATGCAACTGTACGAGACCTTCAAGTCTCTAGGACTGCGTACAGATCATGTCTTGAGTAATGGCTTGCACACGGGAAATACCCGCTCTCTAAGCCAAACCAGCATGAAGGGCGTATCCTGTCCTTCGAAGTATCATCAGTCCAAGAAGAAGCTTCTAGCAGCTACATGCAGCTACTGCAATACTTGAGGTCGTGCAGATGCAATTGGAGCGCAACGTCGCTCGCAGTCTACACAGGAAGTGCCTGGCCCCTCACTGGCTTCAGTTGCCCTTGCCACCTCCCTTCTGCGGCGGCTTGTACACGCGACCTTCTGGGCTGGCGCGAAGCACCTGAGAAGACACTTCTTGCGTTCAATTTCGCAGGCCCTGGATTGGACGCCCTCTGAGCCAGGCCTTGTTCCGCACTCTAACGACTCGTCCGTGGATTGCGCAGGAGACGCAGTACAGCATTTTCATGTAAAGCTTGGGCCTGGAGAAGAGGGAGTCGAGAGAGTCGTGGAGGGATTCATGGGACGATTGGAGTACCACCATGAAGTTCACACGCTGAGGCTGTCACAGCATGAAGCTAGAGTACCTAAGCGTGCGTAGCTCACCGAGACACTCTCCGCCGCTCGGGACAAGTGGCGCTTGGTCGCAGCTTAAGCCAAGTAGCACGCTCGCCTCACGAAGGTCACGCTGCGATGATGCATCCACCATGTTCCTCACCTCATGGTGTCTCGCTGAAGCTCGATTTACTGTCAGCCGGGTAGCATCCTGGAAGCAACAAAGGTCGTGGATCGTATCTGGTCATGAAGATCAATGCCACCCGGCCTGAAAGCGCTTGATGGCCTCGCGTCAGTCAGTCAGTGTCAGTGTGTGTGTGTGCGCGCGTGTGCGTGCGTGCGTGGGTGTGTGTGTGTGTGTGTGTGTGTGTGCGTGTGTGCGTGTGTGTGTGTGCACAGCTTCTCGCTCGGTGCTCGAACCAACTATACAATTAGGATTTCTCCAACAAACTCGTGCCTTGTCCTTGGGCACGCAGCGTGCGCAGTTGGAGCAGCGGACAATAGCCGTGTGTCCTAGGCAGCGTCCCAAGCTACATGTCTCCGGGTGGACTCTTGGGTTCGGAGCTATGGACACAGATTTGCCAGCAAAGCGTCCGCGACCGTGCTTGGAGCGGCCATTGTTACGACGCTTGGATGGCATGCTTACAATCCCCTGCTACGTCGAGCCAGTCGGTGCTCCCAGAAGGACTTGCTGATTCCTGAACCAAAATTCAGCGGCACATGCCAGGTCTCGTAACATGGCAATCAAGATCTCCACCGTTTGTGTGCATCTCAGCAGTATTCTGAGCAAGTATTCCAGAACTGACGCGTCTTGACTCAGGCCAGCAGTTGCCGCCTGCAGAGCTGTTGGAACATTGCCGAAGGAAGCTGCCGAGGCATCAGGCAGCCATGCTCCTACGAAAGCTGATCAAGGCTCCCAGCGACGATTGGCGAACACCCAGCTTGCCCAACTTACAAGGCAAGAGGTTCTCATTGTACTTAGTGGCTGCAAAACTCTCATCAAACACGCAGTCCTCGTGCCTTTCGCCTGCCATCGGCGTGCTGGGCGAGGCAGCGAGTGCGACGGAGGTGCAGCAGCGAACTGTTGACCACAGGCAATGCAATTGACACGGCCACTTTGGCAACAGTTGGCCCCTGAAGACCCGAAACTGGAGACCAGGAGCTCCGACTTAGCAGGATTTTAGAGTCTTGGTCCTGGACTCAACTAAACTAAAGTTCTTCCACAAACCTGGCCTGTTCCTTCCTTGTGGGCGGATCTTCGGCCTCACAGCGAGGCTGCACCGCAGCGACTGTTTTCCAATCTGGCTACTCCCTTTCGACAGTCTGTTGCCGGGGCACCTTTCGAGGCAGGCTCTGCTGCTTCGGCTGGACCTCCTCCGCTGCATCGGTACTATACTTCACTATAGTTGCTGAGACGGTGTGCTGCAGGAGCTCAGGCGAGTACAACAAGGATGCTGCAATTAGCAATTCAGTACTATACCCATCATTTACTTCACTTGAGATCCACCTTCGCACCAGGTGCAGGCCGTATGCATCGGCGGCTCAGGATGACCTGATCTGCACATGCCTGAATTAGAGAGGGTTGCCCCGTAAAAGCAGGATCATTGTTCCAAGATGTGGCAATCATAAACTCGAAGTATGCAAGAACTGATTTGCAGATGTGCCGCTGGCTCGACCGCCACAGGGGATGGATAGCCACTAGGACCTCTTGCAGACTTCGGAGAAGTGCACAGAACGAGCAGCTCAGTTCAACTGATTCTCCAGAAATTCCAGGCCTCTGGGCTGGCCGTGGATGCTACCAACTGGGACAGACCGTAATTCTGGCACCCAGCGCCTGAGCTGCGTGCATGGAAAGTCTGGTCTCCGGACATGCCCCTCACAACCTCTCAACAAGCTCTCCGGCCTCACGTAGCTTTCGTCGCGGTCGTACTGACGAGCCTTTAGCGTAGCGGGAAATGCAAGACTTCTAGATTCTAGCATCTGCAGTTGGCTGACCTCTGCAAAGGCGCATGCCTCCTGCCTCTCCGTAGCATTCCCTAAAGCAACTGAAGTGCGGCTTGCCTGCTCGAACGGATCGAATATGGAGTCCCCAAGCTCCACCTCGAGAGTGCACGCATGCCAGAGTACAGGCACAAGTTTCAGGCAGAAGCATTCTATTGCATCGCTTGTGCAGCTGTTCTCTGCAGCCAGAATACACCCCTTGCCCACGGATCGCCACCGCCACCTCGCCTCGGGTTGTGAAGTTTCACTGACTTCGAAGTCGAGTAGGATTATTCAACAATTAATTTGCTGCTCGTCTCCGGCCCATCGGAGATGCGGCTTGCAGCTGGCTTGCATCCCTTCTTTCTCAGCTGAGTCGCAGCAGAGATAAACAAATCCAATCTAACCGCCAAGCTGCGCACCTGGCCTGCGGCCTCCTGTGGGACCGCGCCCCTTCAAGCCCAACGGGTACTTGTCCTTGGAGAGCACGCGATCGAAGAGTTTCGATAGGATCCTGTCACGGTGGTTGTAGGCCGGATGCGCCAAGATCGACAGCGATGTTTGCCATGGACGCCCACTCACCTTCGACTGAACTTCACTGTGCTTCAGCTGCCAAGACATGGGCTCTATAGTGTGCACGGCTTGCTTTCATCCGTTTTCGCGAAGACACCACGCTTGTCTACAAACGTTAGTGACACATGTTAACGACAGAAGCATGCAACAGACTCTGTGCTGTTCGTCCGGACAACACCACCGCATGCCTTAGCAGTGGTCAAACAAGCAATCGCAGTGCGATGCTTCTTGCAAGTATCAGCCCCGTTTAGTGCCTTCAATCCTGCCGTGATGGCTCAATACGCGTGGAGGCAATCTTAGCGGCGCTACCATAAGAACAACTTGCTTGGAATCCATCAAGTAAAGATGTATTCGAGAATCGCTGCAACCCAGCTCTCATCTATTCGAGGATACCCGTGCGATGTTGATAGGTAACCCCAAATCCCATGCAGTACTTGCATCGTCTTCCAGGAATTCCAGAACAGCGCGCCGTGAAATGCTGCCTGGCTTAAACCACTTGTGGTGCAAAGTTGACATCCTGGGAATCTGCCATGCTGTGGTGGCGCTTGCGGACGCAGCCCCACTGGCCACTTGGCTTCCCGCCATAGTTGGAGCAAACATCATGGTCTAACAGAAGACTTTCGAACCTCAGCGGCGACTCGATCGAGTTTCGTCAGGATCGACGGCTCAACTGAGCCACGGGCCAATCGGCCCCTACGCGCCAGTCAATGTTGAGGTAGTGTATCAAGTAGGAGGCTACTATGTAGCCTTGGCCAGACAAACAACCATGCGAGCAGCTAGTTTACCGTGCCACGTTTTGATTGAATTGGTGTTCAATGGTGCCTTCTACAGCTGCTGGCAGTGTGGCTTTTCTGGAAAGAAGGGCCATTTCCAAATCGGAGAAGGAGGAATGTTTTCTTTTCTGATGTAGATGCACTGCACGAATTAAAAAGCAGAAGCCGTCCAAAGCGGCGCAGTCACTGACTTTCTTGAATCTGTACTGAGGCCAACACCATGTCCGGAAAGAGCCATGTTACAACGTGATCCTGCCCCTCCCCACCTGCGGCAAAAACATTATCGGCCGAGGCCACAGGCCCAAGCGTCTTGGGGGATACCTCAAGTGCCCTCCACCTAATCCTCCTCCCTGCACCGCCCCCCCTCCCCCCTTGTTCCCTGATCGGAGCCCCCTTGGAATAACTCCTGGGGGAGTATCAGTATCAGCAAGGCCCAATGGACCTAAAAGGCTGTGCCCCTGCACGCGGACAGCAAGTTGATTTATCTGCTACGCAGAGAGAGCTATGGTGTCAAGTAAAACCACTTGAGACAGAAAGGGCAGCGGAATATATACATGTGAGTATGCCACCATGCCATTGCTGTAAGTACCTGCCCTTGAGGGTATTTTAGGCCCCCCCCCTTCTTCTTGCTCCTGCTCAGCCCGCTGCCACACGTGGTCATGCTATGCTGGTCCCTAAACTCCTAAACCTGCGTTTCCGCTGTTCGTTCCTCGGCGTCCCGGCACCTGTTGAATCGTGGGAGTCCTGCTTAAAGAATTCTCAACACAGCCGTGACCTGAACAGATTTCCTGACTGATACTGCACAGAATCAGAAGGCTTTGCCGTTTCATCCGGCCCCCGCACCTGTGGAGCCGAGGCGGGCGGCGTAGCGTTAAAATTATGAATATCCTTCAGTGAAGTAGCGTCCGCGATTTGCCATAAACCCAGTCGCGGCCAATTCCCTCATCAGTCCATCCACAAGGGGCACGCCAGTCCTTCAAGCCACTTCTGATGGATGTTTTCGCGCATCGTGCGTCTCTGAGCAGTGCTGAAGGTTGAAGGATGAAGCACACTCCGAGTGCAATGCAACCATGTGATTACGAGCCGTCCTTCCTTGCTTCCAGCTCTGTTCGATGGCTGCGTCTCTCCTTTCAACACACTTGATTATCATCCAAGCACCTGCATGCCCTCCGTCTTACAAACTTCTGCTGGATAACCGGCAGCACTTGCCTCAAAACCGAGAGATATAAGCTCGAAGTGGCCTCCATGAGCGCGCTCGCCGGGCAGGGCCGGACAGGAAGAAGACCCGGCGGCCGAAGTGGGCGCCTCGGAACTTCAGAGGTAGGTTTCTCACATCAGCTTGGAAACGGCGGCTTTTTTCTCCAGACCGCAGAGGAGAGCCAAAGCACAGTAGAAGTGGAAGTAGTCGCGCCAGCAAAGCTGGAAAATGAACTTTTGGACGTGGTCGAAGCGCCCGTCCTGAACTGTTCAGCACGAGTTCCCAGAAAATGATGGAAGCAACCCAACGCGAAACAGCTAAATCGTTTTCCGTGCAAAAACTACGAACCTGCAGCCTGCAACTCGGCGAAACAAAAGCTCTGTCTACGATGCTGCCCAAGAAGCGTTGTCCTTGCCGTTCTCGCGCTCAAACCTTCGAAGCAGAACGCGCCAGCTCAGCGAGTGCAGCTATCGCTGTCGGTGCTCTGCAGCCAAATCTCTGTACGGCTCGCCAATACACAGAGCGAGGCGACAGGCAACCGACAGCCATCCAAGGGGATAGGCGGCTGCTACAGTGGCAGTGCAGCTGATTCCGGGTTTGCTGATATCTTCCCAATCCTGGCCCAGGCATGAGCATGGTTGGACGTAGGCGTGCCTGTAACAGCATGAAACACTCGAGAATTTGCTGCGATGTGACAAGTCTACCATAGTCTATCACACGGGTCCTGTCTTTGTGTAGTAGGATTCCAATTGCTTCCTTGTCGCAAAGGCAAACAAGGACAATGCGAGCGGAACACCTGAATGTGGCCCAACCCTGACTAGGAGTACATGCGCACAGCGAGAAGGCAAAGAGCAGATGTGCATGGAAAATGCATGAACATGCCGAGGTTCCAGGCTTCGGCCTCTCCACCACGCCACTGAAATTCCCCGGCGCTGGGCTCTTGGAGAAGTTCCTTTGTCAACAGCTCTGAGGGATGAAAGCTGCAAGAACCGGCGGGTGCTGCCCTTGTCCTCCATTCCCATAGGCCCTGGATTGGTGCTTGTGAATCCCTGCTTGCCTCATGTACTTGAGAAGCCGTCACCAGTGGCGGAGGTGACCAGTCCCAACCCGGCTCGTAAATGCCTGCAACACTAGGTATATCTCGTGACTAAGCTCTAAACACCTGGCAATGCCTATTCACTTCTTCCATCCTCTAGGCCCCCTGTCTCCCACGGATCGCGAATCATGAAGTGCGACCACATGCAATTTACTGATATTAGTTGGTGCAATCCTTCTAAAGTCTAGTTATATCGTCATGAATCAACAGGTTAAAGCCATTTTATGGCTGCCGCCGACTGGCCGAGCCCAGACCCATGGCTTGAAGCAAACATCCAGCCACTGGCTGAACCATGTCCTGATTGTATGTTGCGATGACTCACCGCGATTCTGTTTTCTAACGAGTTTGATCTCACATCTGTTATGCTACTGATGTATTCCGAAAGTAGCACGGCTTCTTTGCAGCAGCGAAATTCAGAAAGCACACTGCCGCAGCTGTGATGTTTCATGTGATGTTTCGACACGTGGCGAGTCCGAGTCCGGCGTCAACTTTGGAAGGTGGCAGCTGCCCCTTGCCTGGGCTCGGCTCCCAAAACAGGCAGAAGGAGAAGGGGGGGACTCTGCATGTGGCATGTGCCCTCGTGCCTGGGGCAGGCAGCTCCTTGCGCGGAGTTACGGCCGCACACGTCTCGTGGTAGAACCTCGCTGGTGTATCGACCATCCCCCAACGGCAGCAGGCATGACGATGTGATGATCCCTGCTGCGCAAAGCCCTCCATAACATGCCACGAAGCCTGCCGAAGGGAAGTGGCAACCACTCCAAAATGTCCTGGATTGCACATCTGCTTCTGCTGCTGATGCTGTAGCGTCGACTGCAGTCTTGTCATGCGCTCAGGCCGGGATGAAATGCGTGCTGTGCACCTAGAAGGTGCCTGCCAAGGCTGTCAGGGCAGGCTTGGCGGCTTGGCTTCTTGCAGCAAGGAGACGAAGCCCAGATCCTCCCGGTTTCGGAGAGTCTGGCCTCTGCTGACTTCAGCGGAAACCACAAGTTTTTGGCTATTAGCTGCATTATTAGCTGTAACCGTGAACTGCATCGCGTCGCCAAAGTTGACACAGCAATCAGTATATTTGTTCACAGCGTACAGCTCTGATCCCGGGACTCTTGCCGAAATGGCGGCACACCTCGGCCAAACATGCGAGGATGTAGCTCAAACATGACGAAACCCGTCGTGTATGTTATGTATGTTCAATGCATCCTACGTCAGCGCTAGAGTGAGTGCTGCCAGCATGCGATACAGCAATACACACAGACAACACACGCGAAGCATCATCGAGTGCCTCGACATTGGCTTGAAGTCTCCGGTGGATCGCCTCTTCTGTGGGAAATAGCTTGACTGACTTTTCCGATGTCTTCATGTCTGCGGGTGAGCACAGCTTACCAAGCGGGTTTCCAATGGCGGCACTATGCACCAGCGCTGCAAGCTTCATACGGTGCCTCTTCCACTTGCTGCTCATCGTGAGTGTCCTCTGCCTGCTGCGATGCGAGCCGGGAGCTGTGCTCAGCTTGATGTTCGTGTGGGTTTGATGCAAGTATCATATACTCAACATATTCGCTTATGTAGGCCAGGAGTGGCTGCGTCGGCTAAGCAGATTGTCAACAGCCGAAGGTGACAGTGCAAACTGCGCTGTCTCTGATGGGGACTTTCTGGCCTGGTACACGAGCATAGACCCCGGTGGCAGAAGCTGCGGCAGTACCTGCTGAAGTTTGTGCCACGCCGCAGTTGGTGTGCGTATTGGGTCATGCTACTGTATCTGTAAGCTCGAAACTAATATTAGCTGGAAATCTGTTGACGTCAGTGCCATTCGGACAGGACGTCATCCGCTTAAAAGCATTTCCCGCCTCCTCGGGTCGGCCGGCGACAGTAATCAAACGCGAGCCGATGCTGTGCAGTGATTCGGCCAGCACCTGGACACTCGGACAAGGAGCTGGAGAAGAATCGTTGGGTTCGCAGGCCCCGTTTCGGCTGACAGCTGACAGTCCAAAAGACTGATGCTCGTCGCGAAAGCCCTCTCGGCCTCCAGGGACTCAGCGATCAGCCGGCTCCTCGACACTTCGGTTGATGTTTGTGTGTTCTGTGGTTGCTGCGAGCCGTGCATCGAGAATGGCCTACTTTTTCGTGCAAATGATCGCCTAGAACGAACCGGAAGAACAAATGCCAGTGTGTCAAGAAATTCTGTAGCCTGAAAGGTCCACATCTCCGGTGGTCGCCCCACGGGCTCTGCTCCCAATGACGTGGGTCAATGCAGTACCTCAGTTGAGCGGAAACGAGCTCGTAAGATTTGAGCAGGATCGAACACAACTGCCGATGGCCGGCACAACCAAGAGCTCGGAAGCTGCTTGGAGTCCTCGCACGTGGAAAAGTTCCTTCAGCGAGCATCATACGTATCATGTGTCAAATGATGCATGCTGGCTGACGAAGTTCAAGCATGCACAGCGTGAACAAACGCAAATCCCATTCAGCTCATATCGAGCACAGGCACGTTGTCGTGCAGGCGCAAGTCGTTCCGCAGCCATGCAACAGCACGTCGGCTCATTGTATGCTAGAGGCAGGACAGTCAAGAGATGCTAGAGTTCGCGTTCCATATCGTTGTCGCAGATTGGCTTGCAAATCTGGCAGATGCGGGATGTCAAGTTTCGCCAAATCCGCCCTGTTATAGCATACATAATATGTCATAAGTTCACCTAACTGCAGCGGTTTGAGCCAGTTCAGTGGGTCACCGGCAGCACCATTAATTACAAAGCATACCGAATGATAGCCCCGTACCACAACACCTCTACTCGGTTCCTTGGCACATGCTGGGTGAGGTGTGACCGATCTGCAACACTCGCCGTAGGATCTTGGATGCCATACAGGCCATACCAAATGCCATCTGAGACCAAGGCTCCCCCAGTCTCATCTCGGCACACTCACGCACCTGCGAGCTTCCAGCTTCGCCGTGGAAACGGCATACAGCAGCTCAGCTAATGCAAAGACTTGGATCTCAAGGTTCGGCCCAAGCTCGGTCAACTGCTTTCTTCACAATCCGCGCTGGCTTCGTTCCGTTCCCCATCCCTGCCGGGATGCAAATGGCTGTTTGCAGCCAACAGTGCATCCGTAGTAGCAATAACGGTGCAGCAGCAACCGCAGCTTAACACACCGCGGAAGCTTGTACAGCGCCAGATTCCTGTTTGAAATGCACTCTGCTGGGTTGTGCTGCGCTCTCGAGCGAGAACTGGTGAACACGCCCTCCAACATTCTCTTCAAGACCTGGGTTGAAGGTATCAGCCCAGATGGCAAAAAGCGGCAGTGGTTCGGCAGTGGACGGAGTAGAGTTTGAATCGGCGCCCTTGGATGGGTTTTCGAAGAGAACTCAGGGAGCCTTGGCCTGCGAGCTCCGCAGGCATCTTACCGTGAAACGACTTTCGCCCTCGTCAGCGGCCGATGACAAAGCAAAAGTTGCTGCCCGATTCGGGGACAGCAGCCACGCCGGCCGGCCACAGGACATCCAGATAAAGCAAGAGTACACGTTTGTCCGGGCAGGAAGAAATCTTTACAGGTCCCAGGCCCTGGACACACCTACTAGCCTACCCTCTCGCAGACTTGCTTGGAGAGGTTTTGCCAGGGTCAGGCGACACTTGCAACAGTGACAATACCCAGCATGCAAGACGACTTTGTCTGCACTGCTCTGCCATGCTGTCAGTTCGTACCAGTACTGCCTGGTGTCGCTTCACCCTGGAGCCTGCCCGAGCTCTTTCATCGGTTTTGGAGGGGCTTGTGTCGAGGCTTTTCTGCAGGACTCGTGGATATGAGCTTGGCAGGCTCTGGAGACAGTCAGCTGTAAGGACGCTGCCTTAATCCAGTGTCCATGCCAAGGCAGCACCGGGTGAGTGAGTTTCTTAAGAAACATTCTCACCTGCGCCGTGTGCTGCTCCTGAACCAGGCAGAACAGCTTCAACTAAAACCCCACTGCGCTTGTCTGTCGGCTGCATCTAGCCCTGTGCAAACGCTGCATTGGCACTTGGGGTGCTTTTGAGGGACTTGGGAGCCCCAGTCGGCAGCCTTGTGGTTTAGCTGGGAGCCTAATCCTCAGTTTAAAAATGTAACCCAGCCCAGCCCGAAAGCCCGGAGACACTGAAACTATTGCAAATGTTGAACGGCAATGTGCACAATACCTGCAGCCTTGATTTACTGTGCTGAAGTCGAAGAATCGATCGAGGCCGGTCTTACCACGCAATAATGCATCGGCGCAGGAGTCAGTTCATCCGTGCTACTTCCAGCCTGAAAGGCGAGAGACCGGTGAAGTCACTTTTCCAAACCTGGCCAAATCTGTATCCTTAGAGAGGGCATCAGCTCGGTTTTCACGTTCAAGGAACACATGTGTGAGTGCGCAATCTGTGCTGGTCAGATTTAGGCGGCATCTTCTTCAGTAATCAAGCCAAAAGAGAGAATGAAGACCCAAGATTTTTCGCGAACTGCGCCAAGAAGCCCTCCATCTCCGATCTTGAGCGCCTTGTGATGCTTGTAGTACCTGAGCTGGCAAACGTGCGGCTGAGATCGGATGATGTGTACCTTAATCCTATTCCTGCTCGTTGTACGTATGGCTGTTGCACTGTCCTGTTGGCTGTGTTCCTTCCCGCTCCGTTTCCTGCTTGCCGGTGGCTTGCCTGCCCTGAATAGAGCAAACTCTCTATAGAGATCCATGTGCTATTGAGAGACGTACCCGATGGTTTACCACCATCACTTTCGCTTCGACGGCCGTAGTTTTGGAGTAGCATCTTGTCCTCGTTGTGGAGGCTGACCTCAGAACAGCACGGGCTGGGGCCTAAGGATGCCTACGGGCATATGGGTCTGTCACCTGTCCCTTAAGCTGCAGCTTGGAGACAGGATCGAGGTGTAGCTTATTGCCCACACGCACGTGACCTCCCGGAAGAGCCTCCTGAAGGGACTGGTAGCTCAGCAGCTGGTGCAGCTGGGCCATGTTACTTTGTCAACTGCGTCGCGTACAGTGCCACGGCGTGCATCAAGCGGACTGCGTTGAAACTTTACAACCACTATTCGTCCGTACACCTTGAGACTTGTCTTCTGTGGCGGGGTCCGGTGGTCGATGGAGGATGAAACTGATTGAATGTACGCTTGTGGGAAAAAGGGTTCCGAAACCAAAAGCCCGGTGCTTATCAACTCAGAAACCGGGCATGTTGTTTTGGCCGACGACCTTGTTCTCGAAGCAAGCTGCTATGATTTGGCTGTGTTGAACTCTTGTTCATGCTTCTTCCATCAATTGAGAACAGATCCGTCATGCGAATTCCTGTTGGCTGTTGAGAGGCAGTTGTGTTGTTCCAAAAAATCCCGTAGCTTTCATCGCAAGGCACTGGGTATACAACATACTCGGATTCCCCACCACTGAAGATCCCCTCATGATTTGACAGTCGAACGCATTCTGTCTTTCGCTGCCAGCAGTGAATCAGTCAAGCATGGATCTCCCCGACTCATGCCTGGCTTGACCTTACTACAACGATCAAGGCTTCGTGTGGGCTTTCGTGCGCATTGCATGCCCCTGCCTGAATTTCATGCACTTGCCCCTCGAGGACCACGTATTTGAAGTCCTCTGCCTGAAAGCAGAAACTGCTGATGTAAGACCCTCTTCGAATCAAGTAACCGAGTGGAAGCTGCACGCCAACTGTCTGTGAACTCGCCGGCGCTGGTCGGCACCGCCGCACTTCACTAGCAAGCTCTGACCTCGACCGCGCCTTCCAGTTGCTCAGGGCATAGCTGGCGCAGTACTTCTGATAACATTCTGCCCAAACTTCCTCACGACAGCTTTCGAGAGCACAGTCTAAGTCTAAGTCGTGGCTTGTATCACAATCGCAGAGTCTTTCCGACTCAGCTCTTTCAGTTCTTTTCTCTATGGCCGACAGACAGCTCATGCAGCGCACGGCGATGCATCAGCCAAGGCTCCTCGTAGTAGACGCCCTTGCTGTTGAAGTATTGGATGATCTCGTCCACCGGCGTGTCCGCGCGTATGTCGAACGTCTTCCCCTCTGCAACGAGCTCATCCAAGATTCTTCTGACCTTTGTTCGGATTTTGTTTGACGCGGTGCGGTTGCGACTTCACCAGTCGTTCCTGGTCCTGCGTTCGCTCTCAGGTCGGCACGTACTCCAAAGGAAACCATCTGCCTCGCTGGGCATGTAGTCCATCCAGAAGCTTCCTGAAGATGGCTGCCACTTTTGTTCGGATATGATGCCGTAACTATACCTACTGGAGAACTCAGCATCACCGAAGACAAAAAAACACAATTGTTGTTTCAGCTCGGCTTCGAGTGATGGAAGGGCATCAGAGGCAGCACAATCCACTGCAAATGCAACCTGCTCGGGAGCCATGACGAATCCCAGTCAAACCGGAGCTGCTTCGCATGCCAAACTGCTGCAAAACATCCAAGAAGAGCGACCACTTCTCGACTCAGTCTGCCGACGTATCCGGTCCACAACATGTGCACCGTTTCGATTCACTAATTCTGCGTGGCCTAAGCCTAAGCCCCACCGCCCGATTACATCCCTGCTGTTGGAGGCTGCCGGAAGGAGAATCTTCTGGGTTCTCATGGCCAGGCGTCTGGCTTCAACTTTGCATTTGTGTGCCGAAACATGGGAAGCTGACGGCGGCCCTTCGAAAACCCGGTAGAGTTCGAGGAGGCTCCGAGAGGCCAAGGCCGGTGAACTGCTTCTGCCGAGTCACTGATATTGGGATGGCGGCGAGTTGAAACCACCTTGGAGCAAACGCTCGTAGGACTGCCCGGCTCTCAATCCCAAAACTGAACTTTTAGCTAATGGAGAGAACGAGGAGATGGCACATTGGTGATTGCACATTGCTCATGCTGTGTTGACTAACATCACCTGCGGCTGTGGTCTGTGACTCTGTCAGAAGCAGAAGGAATGCCAGAACCGCATGGAAAAACGTGTTCAAGCGCTCTCGCTCTCTCTCTCTCTGCCGAAAGGCAAATGATGTTGTCCCTGACCATCTCTTTGGTCACACCTTCTCCTTGGATCGGGGATGAACACTTGTGGATTTTGCACCACACTGATTTTCGCATCCGAGTGTGTTCAAGTCGCCCTCATATTTTAAAACGTCGTGCTGCAGCCGGTCGAGGATCTGTACACAAACTTCCGCCACTGCTCGTCCGAGAAGAAGGACAAAGTGGCCTGCCAAGCCTCTCCCTCCATCTCGTCCAAGAGGCCTCCGGGAGCTGTAACACATATGGCATGGAATGTCTCGAAGCATGGCTGGCGAAACTGAGCCAGACTGTTAAGACAGAGCTGCTTGTTGCATTTGGCCACCTTCCCCCCCAACCCCTGAACATAAACAAACCGCTCTGTAAACAAGACACGGCACGAGGCCGACTCTTGCAGAAGGGGCGATGCTCTTTCCGCTCACTAATAAAACTTATGAGGATGACAAAACGAAGGCCCTTTAGACCGAAAAGGCTCCTGACAGATTGGAAAACACCAGCTCCGTCCGATTCCAGATAACTTGTGCCCATGGAAACAGTAAGTATGGTCTGTGGAGCACACTCAAACTCGGAGAGATCGAGTTTGGTGGCCCCCACATGTTTCTTTCATCGGGCATGAGCCCGTTTCTCTGCATTTCCGGTGCTGCCTGCAATGCAAGTGCACTGCCGGAACGGAGCTGGATGCCACCACAAGTTTCGGGAATTCAGCGACGGATTTCTCGTAGAGTCCTTCACGATTTCATGCTGCCGCTGACGAACACCCTCCGCCACGCACGTATAATTGCTGACTTGTCTTGTGAACAGAAAGTCCCAGTATGGACTCAAGCCTCCCTGTGCTGGCTTTTTCCGGCAACACCCCGGAGGCGGTGAGAGGGTCTCCATTCGAGTGGAGGGGTACCCTTCCTTCACCTGCGAGTCAGCACAGCCCCTTGCTGCTTAAGAGCCCGCGGCTTCAGTAAATTTACAGCGGCTGTAATCGGTGTGAAAAGGGTTGCTCCCCTCTTTCTTTGTTACATTAGCTGCTACATGCTTTCGCCAATCTCGTGTTTTGCGGTTATAGATGAAGTCCCGCAGCATCTCGCCCCTATCTAAAAGTATTCCCAGTCGCAAAGGAAGAGCTTGCGAACTTCAAGACGCGCCTATGGCGGTTGACGGATCTCGCAGCAGCCATCTCCAGTCCTGCACTCTGAGTCCTACATCTAAGTTATGTCCAACTGCCAGGTACACGTGCAGCCCATCCGAAGGGAGTCCTGGCAGTAGTGGCTTGTCAGGAGAGCGTTGAGGTGGCATGTGGACCTGTGCAGCTTCCACACAAAGCTTTGCAGACCTGCATATGGCCTGGAATCTGAAGCCGAAGAACAACCCGAAGACCATGCAAAAGCAATGCTTCTGGTAAGTGATATTAAGTGAAGCATAGCCATGGAGCATTGCCAACAAGTCGTCAAAAACGATGACGTGGTCGGTTTGCCTGTTGGCAGACACGAGGTTGATATGGACTTCGCGTCAAAAGAAACACCAGTGGAAGCTGATGCTGATCTTGCACAGTACCTCCTCTCCTGTTCGGGTGTGTTCGCTCTCACCATGGCACAGTGCCTGCGGATCGAGATCATCAGCGGGAACTTTAAAGTGCGCTCGACGCCGAAAATAAAGCCCATCATGACCTTGGCAGCTGTACCGAAGGTCGCGAATCCACAACTGAAGGGGACCACGGCCAGACGTAGTCACAAATCTCAGCTACTAGAGACACACGTCACATTAACGGCATTTCAAAAGGGCAAATGCCTGTGGCGAACATACGACGGGCAAGTGTGCAGCAGCAGTGGGAATGCTGAAGGAAGCTGTGGAAATTTTCCGTCCTTTCCCGTCCAAGTCTCTGTGACTCAGCCACTCCATGAAGCTGCTTGCCCTGTGTCCTTACAGTACTGAGGCCATGCGGCGTTCTCAGTCTGTGTGATGGGGACATTCTCCAAGGTGTGCCCACAGCCTTGACAGGCCTCGGTTGAAACTGCTTGCAGTTCAAGCCCACAGCCCCTCTCCGTCCCCATCGTGAAGTGTTGATGCATCTGTTCATGTGATTGCGGGTTGGGCCGTGCCGTAGGCATGGGCCTACAAGCTCTAGAGAGCACTGGGGCCACAGTTCAGTTGCTGCCCAGTCTGCCTTCTGATTGTGCGCACACGGCCGACCGCACCTGTCACACACCTGGCACAGTGGCACGGCTTCTTCGCTCGTCATCGGCTCTAACTCGAACAGCTCCGGCAATTCGCATCGCAGGTATATTTCTCAACAGGCTGAGGTGAGATTTGGAGCTCAGCGGCTGAGCTCCAAATCTCACAACCCTGGAAGCGGACCTTGACATCATTGTACATGTACCTTGCCAACCTGAAGGTGTCCACCGTGCTTTCGGCTTTGCATTGTGCGGAATGATGGCTTGCCGGCTCGCTGCATGGCATGGTCTTCTGCCTATCTCAGATTTCTATCAGGTCAGATCTGCTCAAAAATACTAACTCGGATGTACGAGTCCAAGGTAATGTCTCGCAACCTGCATCCTAAATTTCGCAAGCCAAAAAGCTGTTCATTGGTGCGTGCCACGCTGTCGACCGCTCCTCCCACCTGTCCAGTGCAGCATCACTCGCGGTATCAACTGCTCTCACTCCCGAGGAACGGTTGATTCCCCGGAAGTACCACTCAGACTCAACCTTCCAGGGCCCTAGCCGGAGGCTCCAGCATCTCGGTCGTGGAGCAAATCCATGGGAAAGCGCCAACGAACCTGCATGGTGTTCAAGCTCTCGACCGTGAGCCCCACCCCTGACATGTGCTTGGCCAAGTTGCCCGGCGAGGTGGCAGCTTTTGCTTCCTGGAAGAACTGTCCTTGATTCAATCGGCATCGATGTCCGCGCTCATCACACTTTCCATAAGCGCATGGCTGCAACATGAGGACGTCTTCATGCCTGTATGCAGCCCGGTTTCCCGACGTTAACAGGAGATCGGTCATCTTCTGTCCTTGGCGATACACTCATGCGAAGCTGTCCGGACTGATTATCACAAAAGAGCAGCATCCGAACTCTGTGGTGTCAGTGCCTGCAACATATGGCAAAAGACATGAGAGTGCCGAGTGCACCCGGGAGGCATTTCGTAGTCCTGCTTGGTGTATCTGGCAGTGCATGGGCAAGAGATGCCGAAAACTCCTTAGAATTGGCATTGCTTGCTGCTTGCACAAAGGGGGATGCTGCGATCAGCCTGCATCTTTACCGAAGACAGAGTTGATGAGCCATGACTTGAGGTGCTCGCAGCCAGCTTTCAGCTAGCCAGCACAGCGGCGCGAGTTGTTCAAAGCAGCTTTCTGCCGTAACTCCGATGCTCGCGTGCCGCTAGCTGGAAACAATCGAAACCCTCCGCAGTGAACGATCGCGGCTTCTTTTCATTCCTGCTTCTTGGCATCGTCCAGCTGACCACGGCAAGGCCGGTTAGACCGCACTTGTCCCGGCCAGCATCTTGACCAGAACCTCAGCCTCTTCCTCTTGTAGCCCGGCGCTGTAGTTGGTGCATACCACACGGCCACGCAGGGCATCATCAAGCTCCGAGAGATCGAAAGAGTCTAGGATCGCCCATTCCTGGCATCGGACATCTACAGCCCGTGTTTCTTCAAAGAACGCACACATGCGGTCCTGAACCCACGCGTTGTCTTCCAGCCAGCATCCGATCTCCAGTAGGCGCAGCTCCTCATCCTCAGAACCTTGAGCTGCAGCACTGGAGCTGCAACTTTAAGTTGATTGAGGCGAAATTGCCTTGTTGCGAGTTCATTGGCTTCACTCCGAGCAAAGAATACATTCCATCTATGTAGCATGCAGGTCGGATCATGAAAACGAGCTGGCTTTTGTCTAGAAGCTTCGGCAATCCATGTCACTGAGTATCCACAGCCTACTGGTCTGGTGAATGCTTGCGCACCGTGGTTACGATGCCTATTGCAAGACGGCCGGGATCTCACTTGAATACTGTACTCATATTAGCAGTCGCGGAGCCGCTACTTCTTCCGTCCGGTGTTGTCGCAAGCGCGGCCATTATCCACGACACCCCTTCACGTGCCAGGGCAGAGCCAAGCCGACCAGCATAACGCTCGTCCAGCCTACAGGGTGCTCACTACACTGTGGCGAAACATGGCGAAACATCTGGAGCATCATCTATTGCAATTGAATTGGCACAAGACACTTGAGAAGAGGGCCACGAAAGCTAGGGGAGAGGAAGCGTAGCTGCGAGCAATTGGGGCTGAGTAAGGCGGGGGACACATGTGACATGAGAGTACTGTCGAACACGAGGCCGAGGCGACAAGGTATGTTCGGTTCAGTTTCATGGAGTGTCAGCTGGCTGAAAGATACTTTGGATTTTCAATCCCAAATTCTGTAACCCTAAGACGTAATATTAGAAGCCACCAAGACGCAGCGCAAACGACAAACTTCAAACACAAGCAAACTCAGGGACCTTGTGGAGGGAGGGGGGGGGGCCCTGTGGGTAGGGGGGGGGGGGAGCCCCCCCCCCCACCTTGTCCCACGCGCCGCAACCTTAAAGGGGGGTTGTCTCTTCAAAATGCTTCATGAGCGAGGTGAGGGGGGGGGGCGGCCCCTCCTCCCCCCCACCCCCCCACCTTAACTCTTGGACGTCCCACCTGATAAGGTGTAAGCCCTGGTTTTGCCCTAGTGCCTTAATACAAGGTAGACCAAGTGAAAATTGCTAAAGGGCAACTCCCGCGAGCTCAACAGAGCTAGCTTTCGTGACATCCCAGTGACAGAGGCGGTTTTGGTTTTATTCGATTCTGGGTTGGCCCTTCAATTTGAGGGAGGTAGCCATTGACAGCATAGTACGGCCGGACCAATACGACCACTTGTGCTCGTTATGCTGCCAACACAACGGCTGGCCGGGTGGCTGAGCTGCTCTTTAACAACATAGTATAAGATAGTCCAAGCTATGGGCAAGTCAACACAAGAATGCGGGTAACAGCGCGATGATCCAAACGCTTTCGACGAAAGCGTGTGCGTAAGACCAAAGGCCTACTTTCCAGGCGAACTTCGGATTTGTGCTCTGAGTAAGCTGGTCTGTGTTGCCGTGCTTGCTGCATTTGGGAAGAGCATAGGAACACTCGGTGCGCACTGCCTGGACTGAGGCACAAAAGTGGCTGCCACCACATCCAACACAAACGATACACTCTAACGATACCGCAACAAAATTTGGCACTCTTGACTTGCAAGCCCTTACCTGCAGCAAAAACGCGATTCACCTCAGGGGTCTGCAGTCAAACAGGCCTCGGAGGGAAACGCATGGTCGGAAAAGCACTTCTCGGCCGACGGTGCTCTTCGAAAAGGCTCTTCTGAGCAAAGCTTGCCCCCTAGCCTAGCGAGATCTCCTGCTGCACGAGACAGCAGATTTTGGCGAGACAGTCTGGAGTTCTGCTTTCCGGAGCCTCGCTGCTTTCGGTAAATGCTGCTTGAATTTTCAAGCTGAGAGCGCTGCAGAAAAGAGAACTAACCGCATTGTCGGAAGTGTAACCCCCCAACCCAATTTTTACGGGTTCGACAGAAGAACAGCGCAACGATTCGGTTTTCATGACTGCACAGGCCAACTAGTGTCATAGAAATCGCCAGCTTTTTATCCAATCTGCGCAGTTGAAGTCAAGTCATGTGGAGGTGTCCGCGGATGGCAGTTGTGCTCAGTCTCGCTTCTTTGTACTAGCACCGGCCGAAGCAGTCGGAGGCTCCTAAAAACGAGTAAAGCGGATCCCCGTTTCCTGAATCTCTAGATGCCTCCAGATTCTCTAGATCCCTCGACAGGCCTTTCTTTTCAGTAATCGAGTTCTCCTGCCTCCTGCGCGGAATTCTCCTGGCGTGCCACGACCGCAGCCGGCGGCATGTAATTATCTCTTTTCTGGACTACTGACTACTGCATTTCAACGTTCGTGCCAATTGAGAAGCTGGACAAGAACGCGGGCGCTTCAGGCCTCCTCGAATTAGAAGTTGAGTTCTAGGAGTTATGAGCTCCCCCTTCGTTTCGAAGCCCTTGCACCTCCAGGGACTGGTCAGCACCACGCAGCTGGGAGCTCTTTGCAAGACGCGCGCGAGTCGTTGCAGCGGTCCTTTCTCCGCGCGCCCACAGTGTGAAGACCTCACACGGGCTAAGTCTCATGAAACGAAAGAGAAGGAACTACGCACTGCTTGGATTCTTTTGTTCTCTACACATACTTGCTTACATCAAAACACGACACGCAACCCAAATCAAACAACAGGAACGATCTCACGTTTCTGTCGTCTTTGGGTCCCCCCGCCCTCGTGGTTAGGACAGGAGCACAAATGCCTAGTTTGTTTTACTTGTTCTCTCTTCTCTCCCAATGTATATAATGAAAGCATGGAGTGAAAAAACGCACAAAGGAGAGAACAACATAACATTCGGCCGTAATGTTTAAAAGACAGGTAGACTTGTAGCTGAAAATCCCGGGCTCTTCGCGGCTACAAGCTCGAATCGGGCCGCTACAATCAGATTAAGGATCCGGCGAAAGAATCAATGGCCTTCCTTGCTTAAGATAGTGTGGAATCTCCGGGAACCCATACAACCATGAACCCTCATTGGAAACCCTTATGGAATAAATGGCCTGAAGGGCCGTGTGGCTGACTAGCAGTTAGCAACGACCCCATCATCCGGTGTGGATCGTGACCTTGCTCGCTACAGCATGCAACTCGTTCTGCCCAAAACAGCAGTCGGAACACATTCGCGTGCGAGACACAAACCCCACTAGCTGAGGTGCAGGGAGACGAAACACTGACAGCCGTGAAACAGCGCTCTCAGTGATAGAAGCATTCAACAAGTGGGGGGTGCGATCTGCGCCACGGCTACTTGTAGTGACCTTCTCAGCAAATGGGCCTTGCTACAGCATCTTCTCGGTAAATGCGGTGCTGGTATCTTTGCGCGGGAGTCTTTGATCCGCACAAGCCTGTTTCGCGGGACTGTAGGATGAGAATTTCGGGACTGCTGGAGGAACTGCAGAACACTTTAGCAGCTGATGCCAAGTTGCGCAAAAGGCTCCCCGACGGTGTTCAGCACTCCATCAATGTTTAGAAACAGCGCCGCAGAAATCTTGGACTGCATAGCCATGATCTGTGTCTGCTCTTGAAGTTTCCTTCGATGCCTGCGCTCCATCTCAGGCCTGTCACAGTCACGGATGAAGTCCTTTTCTGCCGTCGGCTGGAAGGCGCGTGAAGGCTTCCACCTCTCCGTGAGCTCGGACTCGAAGTTGATCCTGTCTTGGTAGAACAGAGGCTCCCTGGGATGGTATGCCCTCAGCTTGCACGTTTGGTAAACCTGCTGGAACATCTTGTCACCATGGTTGTGCATCGGCAAGGTGTGCTCAACCAAGAGCTCAGCCACCCGCTTTGTGACCTAAGCCCACAAGACAGGCTATACAGGTTCAATGCTTGAGAGCTATCGTAGCTTGGGCAGCCTTCGACAATATCCGAAAACTCTCCAAACGGTCTAGTCGCGAGGTAGGCATGACGCCCCAAGGCCTCCACAGAACGGAAGACGTGTCCGCTGCCGTCCACAGCTCTTCGCGCCTTCCGTGCCACTTCTTGCTCGTCCAGATTCCTAAACCCTTTGCTCTACTGTCTTCTTCCTGCACCTCTTGACTTTCCCGCACGAAGCCCAGGTGGAGCAGGTCGAAATCAGCTGGCACTCTCCTTGAGCTTTGCATAAAGGGAGAGTCCGATAGAACCAGCTAAATTACCGAGCTCAAGGCTCCCAACAGCTCACAGCTCACACGGCATCTGACTTTGACATCTTGACTAGACCCAGACATCCTGAGGATGGAAGCGTCCATCACCGAAAAGCGCTGGAAGCTCTACGAGCCGATTCATGATATCGTTCGCCGTGCGTCGATAGGAATTCCCTCAACCTCGATGAGAGGTCGGGCGGTCCTGGCTCTAGGTCATCCTCAAAGATCAGAGCGTAGGCTTTCCTCTGGCTCGCATGCTAAAGGCAACTGGAAACATGGTCGGCTTCATGTCCATCCTGTTATGTTCCCCGCAAGCGCAAAATCAACTTGCCATTATGAGACCGAGGCTCTTGGTGTCTGCGAGAAAGCGCCGAAGTATGTCCAGATGCCCGAGGTGGCATGCCACCTTGCCCTCGGGCATGTACTCCACATCTTGCCAGATCACATCAAGGTAGCTCTCCAGAATAACGCCCGAAGCAACCAACTCATCTAAATTCATCCTGCAGTAGATGTTAGATGGGAAGCTGTCTGCCGCGGCGCCCGCAGTCACCGCATGTTTGTTTAATCAAGCACTGAGCCTTACCTGCAGTCGAGGCTCTCGTGCTTGTCCGGGCCATTCACAAGCTCGGCATCGAAGCCCCAGCGCTCCATAAGCTTTGCGGCATGCTTGCGACGAGAGGGGATGCAAAGCACGTAGACCTGCGTCTGCGAAATAATGTCCTTGCAGTGGAAACTTGCGAAGCTACAAGAAAAAGCTGCTGAAGCAGAGCTGAAGGTCCTTTGGAGCCTTCTGCTCTTCGTTGCTCGTTGGGACGCCAAGTGAAGACCACCTGCGATCCCAAGGTCCGGGTCTCCGCCCAAGTCCCGCAAAATGTGTGTCAAGACGTGGCTCTGGGTGCGGGCTGTTTGTGGTTGGGTTGCTGTGAGGAGGCCTCGGCATGACCTCCACATCTGCAGTGTGCCCGCTGAGCCCCGCACATCACGGTGGATCCCTCGTGATTCTTCGTACTGCTGTCTTTGCTTCTGTTCCGAGTCTGCTGGAAGTGCTAGTGCTGGGGTTCGGGGACTTTGTCGGCATTTCGCACAGCATTGGCCTGCAGCTATTCCAAGACATGAAAAACATGCGAAGGCGCTCTAGACTCTAGCCTCGAGCCACCGGGGCGAAAGCAGCTTCGGACTGGAACACGACCGATAAAAACAGCATCGTTTAGTCTCATGTTTGCCCATGGCACGGAAGAGTCGAGATCGAAAAGAACTGACTTCTTCGTCCAAACGCAGCAGCCCCATTTGCTGCTAACTTCGTAAACCCCTGCATGCGGCCAAGTATCTCATTACCTGGCAAAATATATGAGCTGGGCAACCACGCAGTCACATCACGAAGCCACTGCTGCACTACCGAGCTCAGCTGTTCTTCAGCTGGCATGGATCTATTGCCAAGGCACTTCGGGAAACAAGCTGCCATCCATGCCTCAGACGGCCGCATTCTGATGCAAGCAAGCCTCCTGTTCCCGAGAATCAGGATGTCCCTGGTGCGTAAGGTCGCGACCATGATGTGCTTGCTTGCATGGACAAGCTGGTTGACAATCAGCACTCAGCGCTTTCGAGCCAACAAAGATCAATGCACGGGCCGGTGCGAGCTTGCAAGCCACTCAGCCTACGACGCCTCCGAAAACTCAATCGTACTCAAACTGCAGTCTGACAATTCCAGATTCTATCCAGAGACTTCCGGCAAGCCGGTGCCTCGTCGAACTTGTTCAGGAGCGAGGCTGTCCTTGGAGTTCGCAGACTTGAGCCTACGAAAAGGGGGGTTTCAGGACAGTGGTGGCAAGAAAGCGAGCGGTTGCTTGTGTCTGCGTGCGCTGCAACTCAGCCTCTCGCGCCGGACAGTGCAAACAATTCTCCTGAGAGTCTTCAACAGGAAGATGTTACGCTGCAAACCTGCACAGCAATTTTTGTGCACCAAGACACGTTGCACTCGTCTGAGTCCCCGAGAAGCACCACCTGATCGCATCGAGGAAAAATCATTCTATTCACTCTCAGCAGGACGTGTCGAGTGCAGAATCCCGTTCCTCTAGTGCTAGCTGAGGCCCTGCCCTTCACGCAGCTTTGACAAGTCTGCAGTCGCTGGGCCACATTTTGTGCTTCGTGTCTAAATCTCTGGACAGGTCTCCACCACGACTCCTACCTGGACATTTCCTGAGCAACTCGTGCTGGCTGCCTTCCCGATACAAGCCCCTGGTGCCCTCTCATCCAATATGCAAAAAATTGCAAAAAGGTTCAGCGCAAGGACCTGTATCCTTCCCATCTCGGACTAGCGGTTGTGGTTCTGTGCGCCATAGACTGGTGGCTGCCACAGCAAAACAATCTTGCCTCCTGCCACTCCCCCGCGGCCACCAAGTCCGCATCATGGGACCTCCCGGGCTTCACACGAGAATCGATGTGTTCGGTCGAACTTGCACCCCACCATGCTGAGCTGGGGACGAATTTTGGTTCCCTCGGTGAGCAGTGCCAACTCCTCCCCACCTTCTTGAATCCGCACTGACATGCTGACGGACAACACGAAATGACGATGCCCCGTTCGCCACAGTTCACAAGCCCATGATTTGCAACATCGGTCTGTGTATGCATCAACGTTAAAGCACGTATCACCTGTTCCCTTTTACAGTAAACCGCTAAATTTGACCTTCTAATCTGCATAAACAACATGTTACGACCCCAAGTGCAACACATTGATAATGATAAGGTACTACACTGCAGCGGAGGCTATGCGTAAATTCTGTGACTCTGTATGCAGTCCTTAAAACCTCGTTCTCAAACGAAGGATAGGCCTGCTTCCTCGTGGCGCACTTAGCTCGGAAAGCTCCCGCTGGATCACCTCGACGATAGCTCGAAGGACGGAAAACGGGCAGGGCAGCCTTTGACAATACCGGACTCGGCCATGCTAGAATCGCACAGCTCTGTCGCAGAGGCAGTGTGTTCCTGGTTGTATAGGCTTCGTCTGCCCCGTGCCAGACACTACCGGCACGACCGGACTAGTCAAAATTTGCTGCTACATGTGACTGGAGGAGAGATGAACCGGAAAAGACTAGCAAGCGAAGCAGGGCCGTTCCGAGGTGCTGACCATTTCAGCCCATGTGGCCCAAGGTTTTTCTGCACTCGAATTACATCTCCAAAAAACATACCACCCACTCCGCATTTTCCCTGAAAAGTATTCAGGATCACGCAAGGGATGTGCGCGCACAGTATGACTCGCAACCTAGGCGTGAGCGACAAACCAATAGTGAGCAATCCGTGGAGCACCGTAGGCTACGCAACTCAACACCAGGAGTTCGCGGCGCGCTGATGTCTGGTTGAAGCAGGAAGGGCGGGCAAGACATACGCTTGTGCAAGGAAGACTCCGCCGTGACGCCGCCGTGCGACCACTTCGGCCGGCACTTCAACGAGAAGCTTCACTTAGCTGAACCTTTCAGACGTCTGATCTTCTGAGGCTGAGGCAGCAAAGTTTTCCTCCAGGCAGCGGACCAGCCTCAGACCGCCAGCTCCGCAGCACATTTCTTCTATGCCTGTGCTCTCGGCCGACTTCCGATAAGCTTGGAAGGCACTGACGAGTCTAGCGCCGATGCTTTAAAGTGCTGCGCCGCAGGCGTTTCACCGACATAACTTGAGGCGGACTGCTCAAACTGCTCCGGTTCATACCACGGCCGGGATGTGACCTGGTGCAGGCAGCGTGGGGCAACATCAGCCCCGCAGTTTGCCATGAGCTGTTCCCGATGTTGTTTGTGGGAATTCCTGTGCAAGTTGACCCTGCAGTTGGACAGCCAGCCTTCGGATCCTCACCAGCGTGGAAATGAAGGGGCCGCTGCCAGCAGTTCACCCAATGACCTCTGCCACACATTTGCAGGCTGAGATCTGTGACATCAGCAGCGCGGTCTAACGAATGGGGCCCTGTAGTCTGGTGGTCAGAGCTGGGTCTGCTCTCTACCAGCTTGTTTCAGCAATTGTGCAATTGGGTGGTGCTCCGACAGCAGGCCATGAATTATCAAGCACGCTGTACGCCATCAGCGATGCTGAGCTGGTTTACCTTGCTGTTGATGATAGGTAGGCCGAGTGCGTTTCTTCGCAATGATGTGCCATGGTTGCCACGATCTTGCAAGCAAAATTGGCACCAAAGGCAACCAGTCGCATCTTTCCGGACAGCTTTCGATTGTGTGAAATCATGCTTGTGCCCGCTGGCTTCCCCCCATCACCTCCATGGTCGACAAGCTTCTGTGCCACCTGCCTGCAGCGCGAAACCCACTAAACACGCACCAGATCCGAGCTAAATCGAGATCGCACTAGTAGCGGCAAATGCTAGGTGCTGCTACTAGTGGCAGCCTGCAGCGCGGAAAGTCGCGCAGCGCTGTGCAAGCTTGGTCGAACTCCAAATAGGCCTGCATTTCGTGCCGGTTCCGTGTGCGCTGGCAACGTCTGGGAGGAGTACACTTTGCCAATCTTCGTCACCGGTCTCGTGTGCCTGCTTAAAGCCGCGCTGCAACTCGATGGCCTCTTCCAGGGAATCGGCTGCCTGTGCACGCACAGATCCACGTGTACAGTGTACACCTTGCCCGAAGGCATGCCAGTGCCATGCCAGAAGATCTCCCTGTCTTCCAGGGGGCTAGGTGTCACTTAGAGGTACAAGGCCAGGCCTGTGCTGGCTGGTTTAGCCTTGCCAGGCTGAGTCCTTTTAGGAATGGAAGCACCTGAGCCACCACCGTGACAGAAGCCCATGCGGCACTTCTTTCCGACCTCTGCGAGAAGCTCGGAGTCTGACTGGGTCCACCTTGGACATCTGGCTGAAATTTCCAGACTCACTAGTTGGCTCATCTCAACGACTGCTGCACGTCCGAGTGGGTTGCAACCAGCAGTTATAGTTGGAACACCCGCAATCGGGCCATGATTTTTCTTTCACTTGCGTGTCGCATCCTTCGCCAACTCAGAATCACCCAAGCACTCGTCAGTATTCCTCGCTCCAACCTGACCCAGCCGTGCAATGCACCAGCCGCACTACTTCTTCAGAGGAGACTTGAGGGGCCGGGCCTTTGCTGCAAGTCAGCTAGTCGGTTCGCTGGTACCTTTCTACATGTGCACGCCGTCTTTGCAAACTTTTCAAAACAGCTGGAAGTGAGGGTGTGCCTGCTTGGCTGCCACTGCCCAGCCCAGGACCTGTCCTCGTCAGGAATCCGGAACAGATGACTTGACGTTCTGCTCGTGCACCAGGACATCTGCTGTTTCGGACCTGCCAATTCCACCAGCCGCTGGCTGCCTGTTGTTGCCAGCATAGCAGATCAGCACTAAATCTGAAATTCAATATCATCCGTCCTGATCGTCATTGTGCCAGGCCCAGTTCCAGCCCCCTCGCGAGCTGTAGCCACTGGGCCGGTTGTACCACGCCTGGTAGCCTGCAAAGCAGGGATATGGTTGAGGATCCCAAAGGGCGGAAGGCAGAAATTCAGCCGTTCCCGCCTTGCCACCAAGAGTTCTCGTCGGAGCCTGCCACATCATGTCCAGGCCTGACGAAGCGCAGTCAGTGGCTTGAGCAACAAAGATGGCCTGACACTGTGGAAGCATATACAGCACACCACATCACACCACAACGGAGTGCGAGCTCGTGATGTCTTGCACACGACCAAGCTACATCAAGACATGGCATGGCTGCGGATTCCAGAACTGCAGACAGAGAGCAGTTGTTGCAGAGACGTTGTTTGTTGGATTTTTTGGCGGTGATGTTTGTGAGCCGATATGTTGTCGGCTGAAGTTCGGCTGAAGTCACGGGTACGGCTGTTATCCAAGAGTCTCCTCTGCTTATTGCAGCTGCCTCGCTCACTCGGCTCATATAAAAACTGTAAGCTGCACTTCGGCGAGCGTTGGACCTGGCTGCCGCCAGTGGGTGGTCGTCGCGTGGGCTGCTTGCAGCCGGCTTTGCCTCCTGGAGATTTCGGAGGCAAGAGGGATGTGGACGTCGTGAGACAGGGCAATCTCAGGTGCAGTGCCAAGCAACTGCACTTGAACTTGAGACATTTTTTGGGCTGTGAGGGATAAGACAGAAGCTCGCTGACTTCAAGGCTGTCTGTCTGAAGCAAGCGGACTGCAGATGCACATCATGCACTCATGCCGTGTTTGAAGAGCGCAGCTCCAGCTCGTCGAGTTCATCGAGGTTGTCCCGACTCTCGGGTCTTTGCAGAGACTGTGTCGGGCTGCCTTTGAAGCGCGAAGCGGGTGGTTCTCACGAACACGAGAAGAACCCAGCCTGTAGTTGCAGCTTGCTCTGCTCGAACATGTTGGACACGAGTCGATGTGGCTTCGACCTCTTCAAGGCGGTTGCTTCTAATCATTCTAATCTCTGCTTCAGCGCACGCAAACGCGTTGAAAGCGGCATCCTGGTATGCTTCTTGATACTTGCGGGGAACAAAATGTCACAGCTGTCTATAATCTTTTTCAAATTCTTAATTGCTGCGGTAAGGCCGTGTTAGCACCTGGCCGCTGGCCTCTGCGCGCGCGCTGGGCTCCGAGGGGACGTATGCTTCAGCCCCGCCGAACTTCATGCACTCCGGCCTCACAACCCACGTATCCCATCAAGGTTTATATGCCGTCCACCTGTCGGTGCCTCTGCCCTGCACTTTCAAGAGACATATACATGCGCCTAACGCTGCAGTCTGAGTGGCATGGGCGTAGTGAACCTCAATTGCCGTGAACTGGTCAAGAGCAGTCGGTTGACGTCGCTACCTCGATGCCGCTCAGAAGCTCCGTACGCTTTACAGAAGCCTCCGGAACAGGTCGGTGCTTCGTCAGTGCCTAGGTCACAGGGTCATCGCAACATTCACAACAGACGAGGTACAGCTGCATCGCTGGAACGAGGTCGGCAAAACGGAGGCAATTAGCGGGGCATGTTATCGCTTATTCGAGTTTGGGTTGCAAAGCACTCAATAAAGGAAGTCGTGCTTGCACGACACCGGCGTCTGGCAAAGTGCTGCGATACGTGGAGCCAAGTCAGCTGCCTCATTGCTCCACGGTGGTTGGAACCAACACACACGAGCAGCCGCGAAACATCACGGAACCCGAGCCCCCCACAGTTCGGAGCAGGGTTTGTTGATTTCCATCATGCTGCACCACCTTCCCGACATCGAATCGGCAATGCCGAGTGAGACAGGACGCCGCTGAGTGAACAGTAAATCCATCGACTTGCGCAGCTACTGATACACTGAAACTTGCTCAAGTCCTGCATCAAGGCGGATCTATGGCGATCACAATTCAACATTCATGCAGTGAAGCCAAGCTGCTGCATCCCATCCATCCCAGTCATCCAAGCCCACCTGCGCAGCAAACTGATGCACCGTGAGAGTCCAGTTCCGGCAGGCTCATGGTCGCTGAAGTGAGGCCACTGAAAGCTTCCATAAGAGTGAGAACTCGATAAGAAGCCCCGTACACAGTAACAGGCCTCTGTCCAATGTTCGTCCCGAACGAGATCTTCTGGTCCAAACTTGTTTCTCCAGCCGTTTGCCTCGCAGTCTGAAGTGTGTCCGTGGACAGTGGCGATGAGTTTTCTGTTGGCCCACCACATGTATGTAAATTGGAAAGCACCGAGGGTCCATGCCTCGCGCACGTTGGGGGCAGCCTCGATGCGGATGAAGAAACATGCCGGCGCCCACCTTCGAAGAACTACCGAACATCAGGAACGCATGTATGCGATGTGCTATGGTTAAATCCAGCACTCGTCCTAGCTCCGCCTCACGTAGCGGTTCAGGGCCTCCAGTGAGCACAGCCCGTCGCGAGGAATCAACACCTGAGCGATCGGAAGCTTTCGCAGCATGGGCTTGAGATAATGTAAACACCTGACATATCCTAGCTTTCTACGCACGTCGCTCTCGCCCAAGGTCCAGCGGGTGCAGCTCCAAGCGGCTACCCCAGCAGGTAGAAGCGGCTTCAGCATCTCGTGGAACTCCGCTACGCCGGAGTATCCTGTGTCAGATGTGACAAGCCGATGTGTACCCCCGCCTCCCTTTGGAGTGGTCTCTGCGGCTAGTGGTGGCAAGCATGGTTTGCCCCCGACCACCACATCACCCATGTGGTAGGCTCGTCAGAATAACATCTGAGCTTTTGGAATTTGGGTTTGCTTCCTTTGCTTGATTGCTGCTTTCTGTGGTCGGGCGTACTCTAGCTGCGATCATAGTGACAGTTGTTCCTGCTGGAACTTTGGCATTTTCGTGGCGAAACGTTCAACTGCCACAACTTTGGACATTCAGCCCCCGGTCGTCACGAAGGTTGTCGGGCTTCTCGCCATAGGAGCAGTTAGTTTAGTTGTAGCTATGGTTTTGGAGACACTGTGCGACTTGTATCTTCAAACCAACTGCCAGAGGGATGGGGCATTAATGGGGTATTCCTGCCAGAAGGGCCTCAGGTGGGCCAGTGGGGAGGTGCGGAGAGGCAGAATGAACACAGGGCTAAGCGAGCCAAGAGTCGCTTGCCCGACAGGCCACACACAACCAGGTTGCTGCGGCATGAGGCAGGCAGTTGCAGTGGCATTCGCGGATGGGGCAGCCGGGGCGCCCATGGCCGCAGTCACGAAAGTCTGGATATCTGTCGAGCTTCGAAGCTCGCATCTTGTGTTGATGCGAACTGCGACAATCAGACTGAGGTACGTAGCTCTTCGCGAAACTGAGGACATGCCAGGTTGCAGGATTCCGCCCTTCTCAGCGCACACGTGAGCAACCAAGAGGAGCTTGATGTAAAGAACATGCTCTGCTCGTCTTCATGTAAACTCTTAGAGTATGTTCCGGTATGTTCCCTCGTCTTCGTATTAGTATTTCAGTTGTTGTATGCATTCCAAGGCTGCTTCGAGGAAAGTCAGTACCCCGGGACCGCACGGACGGTCGGCCTTTTGCATTTCGACGAAGAGCCAGAGAGTCCGTGACATTGGCCTACGCAGTGTGCAGGCCCTTTACATTGCCCAAACTGTGCAGATTTTGGGGAGACAGTTGTGGCTCGACGTGCCGAGTTGAGTCAGGCGGAAGACACGGCAAATAGGGGCAGACAGGATCCGAGCCGCTGTGGCGTCGGCGTGTTGCTGTACACATTGCCCCTGCGACGGAGTCGACCGGACTTCCCGAAAGACACCTCGGAGGCGACGAAGGAGCCAAGGCTGTCTGTCTCGTCTGCTGTCGATGTCGGATTGGGCTCTTCCGAGCAGGATGCGTCGCGTTCTTCGGCTGTGTCGCGGTTGCGGCAGCGGACCGCCATCATCACCACACTTGACAGCATGCACCCTGCACCAAGCAGCTTCAGTGGCGTTGGTGCGTCGTTGAAGACCGTGGTCTGTGCTATGTACCCGGAGATCATACTCGAGGATGTGAAAACGGTCGCACTGACCGCAGCTGGACATCTTGTGGCACCTGCTGCAGGAAGCACAATCGAGAACACGCACCATATGGTCAGAATGGCGAGAAGCCCCAAAGCATGCCACGGTTCCTCCTGGACAGTCCGGAGAGCATCGTGTGCAGAAGAACTGAGGCCCAAAAGTGGTGGCACAAAGGCCAGGAGCACAGCAAACATCAGGGAGACAATTGTGAGCAAAGAGACTGGGATGTCTTTTGACTTCCTTGCACAAACGAAAGCACCGGCTTGGAAACATCCAGATAGCAATGCCATGCAGTACCCAAGAGGGGACTGCTCTGTCTGTTCCGAAGCTCCGAATACGAACTGTGGCTGCGAGATGCAAACAGCACCAGAAAGTGACACCACAAGGGCCACGAAGTGGAGAATGGTCACTTTTTCACCTAGGAATATCAGACCCAGGAAAGCTGCAGCCATGATGTCAATGCTGGTCAATGCTGCCACGTCTCCCGGGGCTGCTCCAACTAGTACTGCCCAAATGGCTAACATCCAGTGCAAATTCTCGAAAAGAGCCCTGGCCACCACCCACTTGATGTCTTGCTTCTTCGGGCAGCCGATACCTGCCCAGCATAGGTACATCCCGTTAGCGAAAGCTGCCCCAGTGCAGCAGGCTGCCAGAAGGTACCAGTACGGCCAATGCATATTCTCAATGATTTTGCTGGTAACCATTTCGCACGTCACGGAAACACCGGAGCCAACCATGAGCAGAATGCCGATCATCTCCGCTGAGCAAGTCATGCTCCTCCTGGAAATTGTCGCCTTCTACTCACGACTCGAGCTGCTTTACTGCTAGACGGCCTGTAGAGCCGAAATACAGAAACTTTGCCGAAACTGCTGGAACTACTACACCAAGCAGGACATCTGAGCAAGCCACCCATTTCCCGCCAGCAACCTCAAAGGCTTTGTCACCTGCAAGTGGGGGGTTGCTCACGGGTGGTCAGGGAGCTCCGCATGACCACCTGCTTGCACGATCTGGCCCCAGCGGCTCTTCTTCCGAAGGAGCTGCATGGCCTCGGCAAGTCTTGAGCAAAACTAGCTCCTCGTCTGATTACCACTTGTCCGGTGAAGGTCCCTGTAAGCTGTAGCAAACCCCGCAAAGAATCTAAACCTTGTGACATCGCAACTAAGTCCAAGCGACACCACGGAGGCCGGGGAATCAAACTCTGATACAGGAACATGGAGCAGGATCCGAAACATGCGCCCCTGCACCCCTCCCTGAGGTGAGGTCCACGAGGATGGCAGACAGCTGGTCTCCAACCTCCAGGCCTGCGTCGTGAAGCATGCCTCGCCTCCCTCGCCTCCCTGCAGCAGTAGAGGGAATACGACAAAAAGTCTGCTACATGCCTGTGGGCTTGCAAAGACTTGGGATCATGGTAATGTCCTGAGCCTGGTAATGATAATTCAATCATTCGCAGAAGAACATATTTCATTCGCGCATGCGCTGCCCCTTTGAACTTTGACGCCTCCGGTGGAGTGCACGACCCGCATCAAGGGCTCCAAGGCTTTGTCTTCCTCGTGCAGCATGTGCCAGCCTCGGAACTTCGGAACTTGGATCAATATTGGACAATGCTCCATGTCCACGGCTTTCTTAGAAAGCTAGTTTGAGGGGGCCAGCTCCGTGGGTCTCTCCACCAACGAATCCAACCCTGTGCTTGAACAAGAATCCTGGCGGCACGTATGACTCCAACAAGCCCCCAAAATTTTTATGAATGCAACACCCAAGCTTCAAATCAAAAAGTGCTAAACCCCCAAAACGAAGCTCGGTGCGCAAACATGTCGAGATCAACACAAACAAGTCTTTGGGTTTGCAGGAGCCTTGATTCCCTTGGATTTTGCACTTGGTGGACTGCTTCAGGCTGCACTGGATCGAGCAAGACCCTACTCCGGGACCAGATCCGAAGGCATTTGAGGGGCCTGTTGAAAACTGTGCTGCCTCAAAAGCACGTCTTGTGGAAGCAGCAAAGCGTGTCCTTTCGTGTTTGACGGTGTGCTCCCCTGCCTTCTATCACGGGGCTCATGGCTTGTGCGCCGTCACAGAACTTGCGCTTATCTAACGCGGAGATAGCTTTGGGCTTTGGGTCATGAGCAACACGTATGGCATGCTTGCTCATTCTGTGTCGGAAAATGAGTGAGGCCTGCTCACAACAGCACCCCTAAGCGCAAGCCATGTCAACGACGCCTGGCCGCCTGGTTAAGGCGCACAAGCTTCGCCCTTCGAACCTTGCTCATGCCCATGCGTAAGGATCCAGCCGCAGCCAACCATCATATCAGCCTTCAGACCTGAACAGCGTTGCAATCCCGTGGATGTTCAAGGCAACACGCCCCACAACCTGACGAAGCCGAACGAACGCATTTCTATTTCTGGGTTCAGCCGGTCGGTTGCCAGCTGAGCCTGGTGGCCGAGCTTTAGTTGCCCGATTTGCTGCCAGAGTGGCGCTCCGGTAGCGACAGCTGGTCGTACATGTCAGCGACCTCTGGCAACTCTGGCACGAGTTGCGGTTCAGCTTACAGGGTCCATTCTGCAGCTTTGTGAACGGCACAGCCTCCTTCAAGATCCCCGGGACTGCTGAGAAGTCGGGCGCAGGCCTCAAAAACAGCGGAGTCTTCTCGCATCCAAGAAGCGAGAAGTGGCAAACAATGCAGACAACAGCAGTAAGCCACACGAACCCTGCTCGCGGAAAAAACGAAACTCGAGAAAAAAAGCGCTGAATGAATCACAACCGAGTCTGAGCAACTGCACCGCAAACGATGGCTGGGCTGTAGTACCGGCCGCTTGCTTCATCCAATTGCTCTACATCTAGGACAAGCGCCCCTTGCCCATACAGGCACTGCAGTGATCCGTGGCCAACGCATCCTGGCAAGCGCATTCAGGAAGATTGGGGGGCGCTGTGCGCCAGTGCTCGCTATGCGATGCTCACGGCCCAAAAGCGGAAGAAGGCTTGCACGAGATACAGTTATGGAAGCAAAACACTCCGTCTAACGGAGTCTATTTGCACATCTCTGCTCATGTGGCACAGACCCCAAGCCACCAGCAAAGCGCGGATTTCGACCAGTCTCGCCGACCTTCATTTGTGTGTTGCTGTGGCAGCATGCGTCTTGTGTTGGTCCGAGCAGATGCGGCCAACAGGCCGAAGTAAACCGAAGCCTACAACGGACTTAACAGGATCTTCATAGGCTTCCTGTGACATCAGAGAGGGCTCACCTCGCATCAGGTGCAACCTCAAGCAGCGTCATGGCCCAGCTGTCAACGGGGGGAACGCGATAGTTGCTTCAAGCTGAGGGTCATTATTTTGGGGGGTCTGGGGGTCTGTTGTACTCTCCGATCTGCCAAAATCTGGCATGTGAATCTCACGCAATGTATGGGAAGTCAAGCCCCACCCAAACTGTGCAGTGGGCAGATAATTACGGATCCGCAATGCATCAAGTTGGGGAATGCTTGCATGAACTTACATGCTTTCTGTGCCTGCACAATCTGGCTTGTCGCATAAGATTCACGCTGTCAGCCGCGAGCCAACAACAGAATGCTGTAGAATTGGCCTAATCTTGTCCAAAACATGGTCTAGCCTGAAAACCTGCACAAATAGCCTCACAACAGTCCTCTTTTCCTTCGGGCTGGCAGGCTGGAAGTTGCAGGAGCTCCAGGGCCCTAGGCTCAGGCTCAATGTTCCGAGTCTTAGTCTTCTTGATGCTAGGCTTGGAGGCACCGGCATCATCCAGTCTTTCGCGCGTGGCCCTTAGCATCCCTTGAGAGATGCTCATGGGATTTGGGTACGCTTGGGCCTCGTACTGCATAGCAAGCCCCGCAGATTACGCATCTCTCCATCCCAGGATTGAGCATCTGGGTGAGAATCTGGCCCCAATGTTGACAGACACCGTGAATCGATTCGATGGCTGGGATTGGGAGTGCAGCTCAAATGACTGTTGCTGCACTCAGGCACTCTCGTCTGGCTTCGGATGCCCTGCTGGTCGTTAAACTCCAAGCCCTATTCTGATCAAATTACTCAACCCAGAGAAAGAAGATAGAGGGGACCGAGCGTACAGCTTTTAAGCTACCATGCCTCAGCCCAGGTCCCGCCGCCCGCCAATTAGCGGCGAGGAACTTGTGCTTATTGACGTAGTTTTGCCGCGCTTCAGGACGTGAAGGGCCAGGGGGGACCAGTATCTGGTGAACGCGTGAAGGGGCGACACTTTTGGTGAGGCGGTAGCCTGTCAACGAAGGGACTTGCGAGCTAAGTCGTCCTGACCTGTCCGAGGAGACACTTCCAACAGTCTTGCGTATTCGAGTGACGAGGCTGTTAGAGGTGGATCTAGTGCTGAAGCACAGGGATCATTTGCACCTGCAGATGCATTGTGGTATGCCTATACTTGTCATGTTGGAAGCATCTGGCTCAGCAGAGCTATCCTACTAGCAGCTTACTAGCAAAGTGAATTCATCACAACGTGCACAAGAAAAAGTCCTCGACGCAGGGCAAAGATCAAGCCACTGTTTCACCTTACGTGACTGGGGTATCCACCTCAATAATTGCATTTTGCCCTGCACCAAACCTGCTCTGCGGCCACTTGCTGCCAGACTCACGCACGGGCCGTGTCCTCAGTCCTGGCAAGGAAACTCAAGAAGTTCGTCCAGATACTGCTATATCATGCTGCCGTAAGAAAAACTCCTTGTAGAGGCGGCAGCAGGCTGGAAACCATCCGACAACCCAGACACCGCACCCGCTGCAGACGTGTCCAAGACATTCAGATCTCCATGACTGCTACGGCATCCCCGCGCACCAGGCTCTCCGGGTGCCGCTGCCTGCGACCTCGGTGCACTAAAGCTGCTCAGTTTCTAGCCGCGGTGGATCTAGGCGACAACTGCTCCCAGCTTCTGTTTGCTGTCATGCATACTTGAGCCGGAGCTCGTGTCATCTATCGTGAATCGCATGTTTGCTCGTCCTTCAACCTCTCTCGTGCAAAGATGGCGAGAGAAGTGCCTCGGGTGCCGGGTTCGGCAGCTTGGCAAGGCCAGCCCCCCGTGCACACCTAGCAACCTAGCACGCAGACTGCTCCTGCGCAGCAAATGGAAGCTGATGTCGCTTGTGCAACATTCAGCCATTCATAATTACCCTCGAACTGATTACCAGATCGGGCGAAAGCTACTCAGTGAAGCGGTAGAAGTAGACAGCAACGTGCTTTTCCTAAAACAGATTGGATTAGATGCTGTGTCTCAAGTCGCACTTCACCTTCAAAAACCTTGCTGGCGAATTTCGGCACGCCCCCCCGCACCTCGGACATATGGCCGAGTACATGCGGTACCCACCACAAACAATGTGCCCTTCCACGCCGAGCAGGGCGTGTTGAAAAGCGCTGGGCATTCCAGCCAAATGTAAAAGACATTAAAAGAACAACATCGGAGCCATTCTTATGGGCGTCTAAGGCAATCGCTTCAGAAACTTTAGCTGTGTATGCACTTTCTGCATGTCATCGACAAGCTTGATCAAGTTTTCCTTCATAAACCTCACCAGTGGGTCAGACATCAAATTGCATCTGGACTCCATCGACACAAGTCAGTCGGCTGGCCTCACTTCTGCTTGCATCATCTTAGCTTCCAGGTGTGTTGCCTCACCATGGAGTTGGTAGCAACCATGAAGAAACTCCTCAGCAGATATCTGTCCGTGAGCTATAGACTTCGGTCTGGGAACAATGTGAACACAGACCCCAAGGAGTCCTCCAAGTCGATCGTGCCGGACTGATCGAAGTCCAAGAGGTCGAAAAGCGTGGCCGCCTTGGAGCAGGCATCGATCTTCTCAATTCTGCCGCACTCGAAGTTCCACGAATTTGGACACACATACTCCCTTTCTCTGTCGGGAACGAACTAGTTGTTAACTTGCAGGCGGAAGCTAACAAACTTCCCTCTACTCATCATTGTCGAGCGGCATCTGGGACATCTATCTTCAGATGGGAGAAGTATGCAAGGATGGTCTCCTTAGCTTCGGCGGCGCACTGCAGCAAAATCAGATATCAGACGATGCAAGCACTCTTTTACTTGAAGCCTGGAGTCATGCTTGAAAGCTTGCTGCAAGACCTGGCAGGGCATAGCAGTGAGATTTTTGTAATACCTACACTGCCTGACAGTGCGCATCCACACCCGTGGATTCATTCTGGACGTTTCCAGATGGCACCAGTGTATGTGTGTGTGCGCGCCCATAGACCTGCCTCGCGAGTGATGCGACCCTCAGAGTTTTCGTCGATAGCCTGGAACAGCTGATGAAGCTGCTTCAGGTAATCCTTGGATGCTTGTACAGGTACAATGTTTCCAGTCCTCTTGCACGAGCCAGATACTACCCCGATGTTCCTCGCCGCTGCATGTCCCACAAATGCTATAGGCATGTCGCGCGGTGGGAAAGATTTGCACAATGCCGAAACCGACATGTCAACAGCGTGGCATGTTAACGAGTAATCACGCCTGGTTTTGATTTGACACCCTTGAAAATCCTATCGACCAGTCCACCAACCAGGAAATATGTCCCAGCACAAACTGGTTTGATCAGGGAGCCTGCTTTTGCTCCAGCTCTTCCTGCACGACCACTTCTCGATCGTTTTTGCTGGACTGAAGGGCGGTGTCTACAAACACTCCAGTGACAATGTTGACCTTGGATGGAACAGTTGAGACAGTGGTATTATGGTACTATAGTGTTATAGTATTATGGTATTATAGTATTAAAGTCTTATAGTATTGTAGTAAGCATATTGCAGGCCAAGTCGGGCATTCTTTGAAAGACGCGAAACACTGCTTGGTTTTATCGAAGACTGGCTGCTACGGCGAACAAAGCAAAGGTGATATAGAGGATGTAGAGCAAGCACCAGAACTCCCCGCCGCTCATGGTGGCCAGCGAGTCGTAGTAGACGTGCCAGTTCTGTCCCCCGGACATTGCCATGTACAAAGCCAGTATAGAGCTGTCCAGAGTGCCGAAGTACAGCTGCAAGGAAGAGTACTCGGACAGCTTTCTCATCTCAAGGTTGTCGAGATAGCTTGTAACTGCTTGCGTGAAGGCAACACCAAACATGTAGAAAAGCCCGAACAGAAATAGAATGATCCAAACGACGGACTTCAAGCAGTTCACCGTGCTGAAGATCATCATGCGGAGTTCACGGAAGAATCGCATAATCCGGATCACCTTCTTTCGTCGCAACTTGTCACATGTTTGCTGTGGGGTGAGCTGCCTGCTAGCTGATGCATGACGGCCTTCACAGTGCAAGACACACCGATCAGCCAATGGGTAGCAACGAAGTTATCACGGACATCGGTGCTGGTGCTGTGGATGTTGCGCTTTTATTGAAGCAATCGAAACATCGGTCTAAGGAACAAGGAGCGACATGCCCGTCCGGTAGGTGTGGGATTCACGAAGCCGGCAACATCCAAACCCCGAAAAGCTTTTCATGCCAGGCGTGGGCGACAAGCAGTGAGATATGGTCCGGTAAGCTATGGCAGCTTCGGTCTGGGAGGCAGAACAGAAACATACAAGAAGAAGACATGACTTATTGAAGCAAGTTGCGCGGACCACACGCACGATTCGCACCACCCTCAGCACCCTCATCACGGTAAAGCCCCGAAGAGGAGTCTGTTCCTCGAGCCCTGTTGCAAGCATGACAATCTCAGCTGAAGCATCCACCACACCAATGAGGACGCAAATGACGTCCAGTACATTCCTGGGAGCGGACACAGTGCGCGACTAGGTCTCTATCCTCCAATGAAACCATCCGGGACCTGGGACCTAGGGAAGACCCAGGAAGGGGTAGATTGGCCAGGTCATCAACAATTGGATTTGCCATGGGTCCACACCAGGTCAGCAGACCTGAAGAAATCGATGACACCTTCAGCTGCCCATCGCACTAAGAGCTCCACCAGGAAGCACCCGGTGAAGCCAACCTCGCAGCTGCAGCCCTCCTCTAAAACTCCGGTCCGCGCTTCGCTTCGCTGCAGAGCTCACAAGCACAAGACTTTGGACTTAGAGCCCGCCGGGTCCCACCTGCATGATCAATACCTCGGTCGAAGTGTTCCTCAGAGGCATTCGGATTTCGATGAATGTAAACACTGGGTTCGAGCGGCTGGAGGTCTCAGGCGCATCGCGGAAACCGTGGGCTTTCGAACCCTCTCGTCTAAACTAAACAAACTCCACATCTCGTAATCTAGGCTTCCTATCTTGTGCAGCATGCATGTGGTGTCCAGGTGTTGGACTCACACTGTCATAAGCTTGGTGTGTGCGTCGACCCTCCCGAAAAATTTTAAGGGATCTGGGCCTGGGAGCCTCGCATATGATGATGACTGATGATGATGATGGTGATGATGATGTTGCGGCCCATGAACCTTGAACAAGCCTCGGAACCTGATGACATTGATGACAGATGATGACGATGAGGACTCCACGGGGCATGCTTAATTTTCCAAGCCTCGATGATGACTGGTTACCCTCAGTCAGGGAGTCTGTGTTCGACTGAATCTGCGACGGAACAAGACTCGCCGCAAGCAACCCAGCTCCCTGGGCTGAGACCTGTGCTGAGCCTGACAACCCAACGAACTATTCTACCTGGGAGCCTGGGAACCTAGGAACCGAACCTTTGCCGAGCCTCGTGATGATTGTCATGTCATGTCACGGCACATGTCTCAGCCCAGCCAGGGAGGGAGTCTTGCGGCAGATCTTCAGCCGCAGATGCATTCGGCAACAGTCGCAAAGCCGGACTGGTGAGGAGCAGCATCATCATATTATGATGATGTTTCTCCTAACCAGTCCGGCTTCCCGAGTAGCGGTTGAGAGCATGCCGAGCTTGCACACGCTCTCCTGCAGCCCGTGTCTGGGAACAGGCAAACAGGCAAAGAGTGTTAGTCTCCAGCAACCTTTTGGAAACTCTCAGACCAATCCGGCTGGACTACAGACAACTTGCAAGTCAACTCTACAAGCCCGTGGCACGCATATCCTCTGGGCCCCCTGGGCCTGGAAGCCTCGCATATGACTGATGACTGATGATGATGATGGTGATGATGATGTTGCGGCCCATGAACCTTGGACGGGCCTGGGAACCTGATGACATTGATGACTGATGATGTTGTGGCCCATGAACCTTGAACGGGCCTGGGAACCTGATGACATTGATGACAGATGATGACGATGAGGACTCCACGGGGCATGCTATTAGCCTCGATGATGACTGTCATGCCACGGCACAGGTCTCAGCCCAGCTATTCTACCTGGGAGCCTGGGAACCTAGGAACCGAACCTTTCCCGAGCCTCGTGATGATTGTCATGTCACGGCACATGTCTCAGCCCAGCCAGGGAGGGAGTCTTGCGGCAGATCTTCAGCCGCAGATGAATTCGGCAACAGTCGCGAAGCCGGACTGGTTAGGAGAAACTTAATTAATTTCATTTGCGATTGCCGAGCTGAACCTGGAAGCCGATACGACACGGGCTGAAGGAGAACATGCCGAGCTTCGACACGCTCTCCTGCAGCCCGTGTCTGGGAACAGGCAAACAGGCAAAGAGTGTTAGAACCTAGCAACCTTGTGAAACCTAAACTCTCAGACCAATCCGGCTGGACTACAACTTGCAAGTCAACTCTACAAGCCCGTGGCACGCATATCCTCTGGGCCCTCTGGGCCTGGAAACCTCGACTGATGACTGAAGATGATGATGGTGATGGTGATGATGATGTTGCGGCCGCCCATGAACCTTGAACGGGCCTGGGAACCTGATGACATTGATGACTGATGATGGTGATGATGATGTTGCGGCCCATGAACCTTGAACGGGCCTGGGAACCTGATGACATTGATGACAGATGATGACGATGAGGACTCCACGGAACATGCTTCAAAATTCATGATTAAATTTTTATTATTATATTTTATCAGCCCAGGGAGCTGGGTTGCCAGCGGAGCAATTCAAAGTTCTGTCGAACACAGACTCCCTGACTGAGGGTAACAGACTGAGCCTGGCAACCCAACGAACTATTCTACCTGGGAGCCTGGGAACCTAGGAACCGAACCTTTCCCGAGCCTCGTGATGATTGTCATGTAACGGCACATGTCTCGGCCCAGCCAGGGAGGGAGTCTTGCGGCAGATCTTCAGCCGCAGATGAATTCGGCAACAGTCGCGAAGCCGGACTGGTTAGGAGAAACTTAATAAATTTAATCATTTGCGGTTGCCGAGCTGAACCTGGAAGCCGATACCACACGGGCTGGCAGGAGAACACCTCGAGCTTCGACACGCTCTCCTGCAGCCCGTGTCTGGGAACAGGCTAACAGGCAAAGAGTGTTAGAACCCAGCAACCTTGTGAAACCTTCAACTCTCAGACCAATCCGGCTGGACTACAACTTGCAAGTCAACTCTACAAGCCCGTGGCACGCATATCCTCTGGGCCCTCTGGGCCTGGAAACCTCGACTGATGACTGAAGATGATGATGGTGCTGGTGATGATGATGTTGCGGCCCATGAACCTTGAACGGGCCTGGGAACCTGATGACATTGATGACTGATGATGGTGATGATGATGTTGCGGCCCATGAACCTTGAACGGGCCTGGGAACCTGATGACATTGATGACAGATGATGACGATGAGGACTCCACGGAACTATTATTATATTTTATCAGCCCAGGGAGCTGGGTTGCCAGCGGAGCAATTCAAAGTTCTGCCGAACACAGACTCCCTGACTGAGGGTAACAGACTGAGCTTGGCAACCCAACGAACTATTCTACCTGGGAGCCTGGGAACCTAGGAACCGAACCTTTCCCGAGCCTCGTGATGATTGTCATGTAACGGCACATGTCTCGGCCCAGCCAGGGAGGGAGTCTTGCGGCAGATCTTCAGCCGCAGATGAATTCGGCAACAGTCGCGAAGCCGGACTGGTTAGGAAAACTTATTTTAGCCGAGCTGAACCTGGAAGCCGATACCACACGGGCACGGCATGCAGGAGAACACCTCGAGCTTCGACACGCTCTCCTGCATGCCCGTGAACCTGGGACGGCGCGGAAGCGGCAGAATCTCTGCCGCTTCCACACTGTTTTTCTCCAGAAATTGTGACACCTAAAACTCTCAGACCAATCCGGCTGGACTACAACTTGCAAGTCAACTCTACAAGCCCGTGGCACGCATATCCTCTGGGCCCTCTGGGCCTGGAAGCCTCGCATATGACTCAGATGACTGATGATGATGATGATGGTGATGATGATGTTGCGGCCCATGAACCTGGAACGGGCCTGGGAGCCTGATGACATTGATGATCGATGATGACGATGAGGACTCCACGGCGCATGCTTAATTTTCCAAGCCGTTGAGCCTGGACCTGCAATTGATGTTCCGCGTGCACGCCGTGCATTCCCCGCAGCATCAATTCGAACCAGGTGTTTCCAGTGGAAACACCTGGTTCGCTTGATGCTGCGTGTGGCGCCTGGGGCCTGAAGTCTGTTGCTGCTCTGTTGCATGCACCGGCAGTGAACATCCACGGAACGGCCACCGGCAAGGTTTCCATGTCCCCAGACTCCCTCAGCGACTCTGCCACGGTCATCTGTCCACCCTTAAAGGGTGGACAGATGACGGTGGCAGAGGCGAACCCAGGCGAACAACCATGGAGCCTGGCAGTAACCTTAAAATCTTAAATATTGG